GGTTACCGGTCGCCGTCTGCGGGAACGGTCCCATAACATCTACTGACCACAAATCACCAACTGCTGTTACTGGAATTGACTGCAGTGGCGGTCGTATGCATCGATCCCCTTTCATTAGTTGACATCGCTGGCACGCTAATACATATCATGCAACATTGTCTCTCATACCTGGCCAGTACGCACTTTGCCGCAGCAAATCAGTTGTCCGTGCAATACCTGTGTGCGCTGCCTGGTGACATTCACGAATCATCTCCTGGCGCAGATCTTTTGGGATTATTGCTACCCAATTCTCGTCATCATCCCGCCAGGTCAGGACTCCATATGCGTTCACTTTCAGTCGTGCCTTTTGCCTAAGTAACATTATTACCTCCTTGTCCGTCGTTCGTTTGTCTACGTCTTCTCCTTCTTTTATCACTCTGATTACCTCTCGAAGGTTCGGGTCAGCTTTCTGTTGTCGGATGAGTTCTAATGGGTCTCCATCTAAACTACTCACCGCGTATGCTGTCACTGGAAGGTCATCTCCCATGTCTGATCTTGACAAGTAATCCGCCATTACGTTTTCTTTTCCTGGAACATGGCCGATACTGAAGTCGTATTCTTGCAGACGTATCATCCACCGCGCCAACTTCCCTCGGGGGTCTCTTGCTGTTCTCAACCACTGCAGGGGTTTATGGTCAGTCTCAATGTGAAATCGTCTACCTAAAAGGTACGGTCTCCATTTTTCTACTGCCCACACGATTGCTAGACACTCCTTTTCGATCGTTGAATACTTCTGCTCGACGGGTGTGAGAATGCGACTTGCGTATTCCACCACTCTATCAGCCTGACTCAATACCGCACCTATACCATGATCACTTGTATCTGTGGCCACTGTAAACAGTTTCCCGGGTTCAGGCAGTCGCAGCGTCATCTAACGATCGTCTAGCATGTTTTTGATTCGGTTGAACGTTTGTTCGGCAGCCTCAGTCCATGTAAACTTGGTGTTGCTCAGCAGCGTCCCCAGCACCACCAACTTCACCTTCGGTTCCTTCACCCCCACCAGCTCCGCCACGGCCTCAAACTCCTTCGGCCATAGATACATTTTATTCTGAAGAACGCTGCAAAGATATTTCAAGTAGCCACAAATACAGCAGTGATATATACCAACAACTTAGATCAAAAGGTTAGTAAAAATCAGTGGATTCTGATGCTACCCAATGAATTGATGGAGATTCGAAAACTCATCCTCAACAGATTGGGAGAGCAATCAAGACAATTCAAATTTAAACTAACAAAAAGCTTACGTAATGATCACGAGCAGTAGTGAGCAACGAAAACAAAGAAGACAGAAAAGATAAGGGCGAAAGGTAGCACTAGACTAATAACACTATCGACTGATCAAGGGAACTAGTATTGTAAATGCAGGTGTTAGTGAGGATATCTAAGAAAATGTGTGAATTTATTTACTTTCAACTTAGATTAGATGGATGGGTAGGACACGAGGAAACACAGTCCAGTCAGTCAACAGATGTCCTTCAGTCGCCTTTTATTTATAGTCGACCTCAATAGGAATTCTATACAGGTTCCCCGACTATTAACGAGATTAAAAAAAGGATATAGGTAAGGTAAAGTGGCAGATAAAATAAAACTTGGCACAAATCCATAAAGTCACTGACAGTTGGACCGAGCCACGTTGGTGCGTGTAGACTATCTGCTTGGGGTGCGCAATATGATAGTAACCGATGACTAGAGACTTTGAATGACATGGCTCGAAATCGTTTGCAGTGGCACAGGTTCATCCATTCTTTGGCTTCTCACAAATCTAAATCTTCTGGATTCTTCATCACCTCTGTCTTTCTGTTTTGAAATTTCTTTCATTGGATCATACTTCTTCAATACTATCTTCGAACCCTAATCTCCTACATAACCGCGAATACTTCTACTACCTCTACTACTATGGGATTTCAATTGACAATTGTATCTCTTACTAATGTAGTATGGCAACTTGAACTGATGTACGTACGAAGTTCTACGTTGTAACTGACTGACTGATGGGTAAGGTAAAGTAAGGGAGAGCAACGGGGCTAAATGGATTAACCCTAGAAACGCTAAGGGATGGCGGTCTAGTTTTACTTGCAAAAATAATTGAGATACTAGCTAGAAATCTAGGAAGCGAACGTTATCCCATCTTACTGATTATTGAGATTTACGAGAGAGTAGCCCAATCTTAGATTCCAAAAGGTAACTACTTAAAAAGTTTCAGATGAGTTAGCTCAGTACTTTTATGGTCTTAACTCGCGGGGACGAAAATCTGTGGGGTAAACTGAGGTGTAACGTTTTTATGGAAGATTATCTTGAAACCTCTCCTTCCATGTAAGAGAGTTGTGTTACTGCAGATGCCAACTGTCTGAAAGAAACACCACTGTGGTCATACCCCTATACACTCAAGAATACGACTTCATTCTTATAGCACAAGTTTTAAAGGTTTAGTCTTTAAATGAATGCATCTGCATCAATCTGACCGATTCCAGATCATCATCATCATCATCATGTCATTCAACCACAAAGTCTGATTATCACAAGAGCCTTGACCAAGCAGACATGTATCTATTCACAAAGCTTAGACTAAAATTCAATGACCTAATGAGCTGATTTCACAATATAGATATTACATTACATTACATTATATTATATTATTAATGAATAATTCACAAACATAATAAGCTCATACACATTAAATACAATTAACAAGAGAAGAAATCAATTTTTTAAAGAATCGATTTTTTTTTGTTATATGAACATACACGGTAGAATGCGTACAGAAAAATAAACATATAACGTCACACAACATTATGTTCTAGTTAATTAGAAGTTTATCATGGAAAAAAACTGATTTCAATAAATATTTGAGTGAGTAAATTGACCTAATTGATAATTTATTTATGGGATAGATAGATTCTCAAGTTATACAAATAGGATTGATTGGTTTTAGGAGTCAGAAGAGCGTCCAGCTGATTATATGTACATATATACTAGGGAATTATGTTTAAACACATAAATACTAACACAAAGGGATACCTAAATAGTTATTCTCCATATAAATTACTAAATTTACAGGTGGGCTAGGATACTGTCGGGACGCTTAAAATGAAGTAGGTGATTCGCTTAAGGGACCACAACCAGAGACTTTCATCCAAAAGTCTTATCCACAAGTCAGTGAAGTAACGTCAAGAGAGATGAAGTCTCATTTTTGTCTCTCGTACTGTTACGGGTATGAGGGCGGTTATCACTTCCCGGCTGCCCACACCGTGGAAGGTTGTTTCTTGAGGGACCTGAAAAGGAAGATAGATTAGTGTTGGTCTTGGACACCTGGGAGCGTGACCGCAGAGTCCAAGGGACAACTGATTGAGGCCGGTCACGCACGGCCTTTTTATGAAAGGTTTTTTGATTATTAGCTCCGCTCTTAAAGGCCCTTAGTGGGCACCCTTACCGCCGGAGACGGAAATCCGTGAGTTAGGGGAGGTGTGACATTTTTAGGGCCGACCTTTTCTAACCCTTCCTTCCTTGTGATGAGAAGGCAGCATCGCTGCAGATGCTGGTTGTCCGAGGGAAACACATTACTGCTGTCACACGCCTCTGCAGTCAGCGGTACGACTTCGCCCTCAGACCTTGGGTAGCTGCTTTTAGTCTCATCGTTCTCTAATCGACCTGCCTGGCATGGTAGGACCTGCAGGAACATATGTTCCAGCCAGTATAGCTCGGTTGGGTCATCACGATAGGCAAGCCCGACCACCACGTCAAGGTAGCAGCTACGGTCGGGGATGAAGTCTCATGGTAGCCGCTGATCAATAATAGGTTCATGCACCATTTTTGCCTCAGAATAGTGAAGTCGATGTAGACCATTGGATTTGAATGAGGGTTTTTCAACTCCTCCGGGTGAACCCTTCATACACATAAATTTGGTTTAAGCGCAGAATATTCGTTCTTCGTCCTGTTGATTTGTTAAACAATACCTCGATAATGGGTAGGATGTCCTTGATAGCAGATATATACGCATGGTTATATGAGAGCATTTCGAGGAAAAGAGAGTGAACTCTCTTTAATCTTGGCTGTATCAGAGTATGTATAGTCTCATAAAAAAAATACTCAACTAGTGTAGTACAATCAAGAGAATTTTCTCTCAACTTTATCAAATTCGCTACTATCAAGTTATACAATGTAACTTTTTTAAGTTTAAAATATTTTTATACAATCTTAAAATAAATTTATGAAAAAAATATGTCTAGTCAAGTGTTCATGAAATAAATAATTAAATAGTAAACTATGGAATTATATTAAAATAATGGATCAATCATTGTTAGACCACTGGTAGAAATCCGGAAGCACTGGATCGTCGTTTCGTCCTGGGACAGGATTCGTCAATGACAATGCACATTCATGACTCCTGATACTCGCAGGATGCGAACCTAGGAAATTCGGTCTTGTGCGCAAACGCATTAACCATTGGACCATTGAGCCGGCATCTAACAGTGTTAATGCTTATTTATTAACTAGTGACGAAATAAAACTAACTGTTTAGTTTATTATCAAGAATGATAGATACTAGTTTTGATCATTAGTAAAATAACAGTTTGTGGTGGTGTTGACGGATTTGAACCGTGTTTCTCAGGGAAACGTTAAAATACTTATGAAGTCCCATTAGTTATGATATACAATAATTGTGACCCAATTAAGAAATACATGCTTACTATAGTATACTTGAGTCTATTATAACAAAGAACAAGACATTGAATTTAAAAGAACTTCCGAATAAAATAGTTTAAAGTATAAAATGCAATGTACCTAAAATCCTGTGCATTATAGAAAAATGCAATAACATTTAAAAAAAAAAAAAAATCATCATACACGTTCAACACAAGCAGTAGTCAGCGACTTTTGACAATAACACCTAATAATTTAAAATAACAAAAAGATTTGTTAACGAAATCTCTTCTTTGTTGTTTTCTACTATTTGAAAATATCTATTCTGTAATATCGAGCTCTTCTTCTGTTGCTACAGTAGCCTCAGCTTCTTCTTCATCCACAAGAAAATTATCACTACTTTCTGCTTCAGCTATTCCACCTGTATTTGTGAATTCATTAAAATTTTGAAGTAGTAGCTCACTTGAAGATTGTGTTACAGAATCTTGAACTATAATATGAGAATCGAATCTTCCACGTCGATGTAAAATAGAAATGGAGTTTCGATCAAAATTGCCATTTTGTGGATCTCGATCTGGGCGTGTTCGATTACGTTCACCTTCAATTGTAAGATCTCTTAATTGTTCATCTACAACACTACGACGTAAATACCTTTCATTTCCTGGATGTGTAAAATTTCCAGCACCAGGTACACAACATTGACTATGAACATTATTTGGTTGATTACAATGGCAAAACTGAAAGGTATAAAAATTTGCTTTAAAACACAACGATTTTTACTTGAATAGTTATTATGAAAACGATAGAATAATTAATTATATAAGGACTACAAAATCAGTCAAGTCTAATCATGGAAAAGCAAGTATGAAGCAACGAACTAAAACGGTTCGCGATGTTTATTCCAGTGACAACAATAGTTGCGAGGTCCTCAAAAAGTGAATTTTACTGGTTGGATTTAGTCATTAAAACAGATAATGAAATAGCTTGGGAGGCAGAAATATAGTTATGAAACATTTCATCTGAATAATTCTTGTTAGGAAGAGAGACTTAATCAAACGAAATGGCTTGCACATGTATTACACATGCCTACACGTGACTAATCCAAGTAGCGTTGAGTAGTTAAAGAGTATAATTTCTAGCTGAAGGTTCTGATCCTGACTCATCTACTTTCGTTCGAGCAACTGCATAGCATCACCAGCTTTTATACTTAAAATGTTGTTCAGAGAAGGTACATAAATGCGCACCTAGTACATGAATTAATTCTAATAAAAATTCTTAATGTTTTTTTGAATTGGAATCAAAAATATTGAGATCCCTGGTCAGTATTTGGTCAAATATGTTTTGATAAAGTTCCAATTCGGTAAAACCATTTTCATCATCACTACTCGGTGGAATTAAAATGTAATTGAATTAAGTGGTGGGGGTGAATATTTCTTTGATGATTACTGATCATAGTAACATCAAAGAAAAGCTTGTTGTATGCTCATCTACGAATACACAAGTGAAATTTTGGGTTTTGAAAATGATTGATTCACTTGAAACAGCAGAATTAGACATTTTTTACGAAACTATTTTGTTCAGCAGAGCCATTTATCTGTTTGAATGTTATGGGTGTAGGTTTCCCAAAATAAATTGTCCCGGGATCTTTGCCCTAATGATTTTTAAAAATTTGGCAATTTGTAGCAGCAAACAGCAAGGAGAAAGAGCAATTAACAGGTCTGTTCGATAGTTAACTTAAGAACATGAGTATGAGGCGAGCAATACCACATTTACATAACGTAATTGCAATTAGCGGCAATCGCTTTATAGGACACATGCTATATCACAGCTTGAAGTCTTGTACAGAGGAGAATCAATGTTTCCTTCAATTACTTTGTCCTCAAGAGAAAAGAAGAAATAGTATAGGTATTCTTGCCTCGGTTTGTCTCATGCAAACAAGAAATATGTGCTCATCACGTGCGTGTAACGGAAGCTCAGTGATAAAATTAGAAGATTCTACAATGTAACCATGCATACGCTTACACAATCCTATAATATAATCACAAAGCTATTATTAGAGAGTAAACTATTTCATCGTCTTTAAGTCTATACACAAAAAGAAAAGCGCAAAAGAAATACTTGTGGAATGACAAAAAATAGTTATAGAAATTAATGTAATACCTTTGAAAGTTGTGCTTCAAATTCTTCAAAAAAAGTTTCTACTTCTGCGACTTTCATCCGGTCATCGTTAGTATGAGAAATACTAGAGTCAAAATCAGTAATTCTCGGGGGTTCAATAGGAGGAATGTATAAGACTGTATTGTAGAGTGGCATTTCTATGGTCAATCCCAGTTAGACTTTTGTTTATTGCTGATATTGTCGTATGCTGCAAGATCCTGCGAATGCTGGTGAGTCAAATTAAGGTAGACCAGATACGCGACACATCCGGTTATTGCAGATAACCCAAATGATATTATGACTTTATTCTAGCTAGGTAAACATTAAGATTTATATTACTGGCTTGACGAAAAGTTCGAAGTTCAGAAGGCGAAATAAAGGAGTACTTTGACGACTCCCCTTATGTTCAGACATATAAACAAAACTGATGCTGCTTCCGTTGACCGATTACAGCAATTATCCCGAAAACCTAGAAAGTTAACAAAAATTCACAATCTATCCTTGTAAAGCATGAAATTTCGTGCAATAAAAGAGTAACAGTAAAGGTACGCTGCACTAAATGCCGTGAGTAAATCAAACAGAATAAGACAGCAATTAATATATTTTCCTATAAGGTTAAAGGCACAGAGCAAAATAGTTTGTGTGTTGTGATCAACCAAACGAAAATTGTCAGTTTTCTGAGATGTTCGAATTTATTGAAAAAAATGCCTAATACACAAAAAAAAGGTAACTGCGATACAGGGCCGAAGATAGATCACAAGAAATATATACTCCTGACCCATATTTTGTTAAACTACTTGATGTGCATCATACACCATTAGTGTTCGTGTGGCTAAATAAAGTGTTTTCCGCCTTAAATCCAGACTCTATATCTTAACCGTGGTTTCTTAAGTTTGTAAGCAAACTAGCTAGGATAAACCAACTGATTTCTTTGCGTTCGCTTCTTGTTCTCTTGGTAGGGTTCCAGGTACGTAGGTAAGGGATTATTTACCATATGAAAACTACTACTTAAAAATGATTTCATTTTTTATAACTAATTAGCGTTTTCTGATAAGTCATTCATCTTCATACATACGGCATACTTCTACTATTAGAAAATTTACAAACCAGGTTTGCAACTGCAGGGTCAGACTTCACTGTAACGTACAAAAGTGAATAATAAACCCAACTTCCAATATCAAATATTTTTCAACGAACTTGTATAAGCTAATTGATTTTTTTGCTCTCGCTTCTTGTTCCTTTGACATCGTTCCAGGTAGTTGTTAGTGTTCAGTGAATGATTGTCGAGCCACCCGGCTGCACCAATTCTAGCCGGTTGTCAGTTAATCTTGAATTCGAATGTCCCCTATTCTGCACCAGTGCATTTGCTTCAGAGCAGTAGGGTTTCTGGATACTAGCAGTTTCGAGATAACGAGGGAGTTTAGCTGGTTTGAGTTGAAGACAATACTCAGAGTTTGAGTATGTGTTTGTCAAGTCACTTCTTGAAGCTGTCCATTGAGGGGTCGGTGGTGACCTCGGCTGGAAGAGAATTCCAAGTCGCGTCAACTCCTAATGAGAAAAAGTGTACAAGCATACAGGTATTCGCTCCTTGATGTTAAGAATAATTCTAGTGTAATAACACTAAGTTGTCTTCTCATGAAGTAAAGATTTGCGTTAGCTTTGGGTGGATCACCTGTGTAGTTGGAAACGGTGTTTTCGCTCTGTGTCGTTATTAGACGGAGATCACGCTCTTAGGTGACGTTAGGGAGAGGACTTTTATCGAGGATGTTAGTTGTTTGTGTCATTTGGGGCAGAATGTTCTTGATGAGATATTTAGACCGGTTAAGTTATAACCCGTTGTCCACTATCCATTACTCTATTGTTGTTTGGTCCTTCTGAAGCTCAGTTAATCCCTATCCAATTCTTGCGGACCTCAAGATCTTTGTGTCCCCCACAAAATTAGTGCCACTGAGCTAATTTCATCTAACAAGTTATTGAAAAATATCAAGAATAGGAGTGAACCTAAGGTGGTCGCCTGTGAAACTACTGATGTTGAAAATCGCCAGCTTGCGTACATTCTATTTACCTTGGTACCCAAGGTAGTTTCTGAGCCAAGAGAGGAATGAATCAATAAAGTCTAATTTCAAAACCTTCGAAAGTAGGAGTACGTGAGGTACTCCAACTTTCCTATTTCCTCCTATGAGGATTAGAGGGAAAGTAGCTTGTTCCAATTCAGCTGGGAGTTTGTGTGACTCCAGTGAGTATCTGAACAGCTCACATACCGGTGAGCCGAGGGATTCCGCACTGTGTTTCAAGACTACAGGAAGAATACTGTCTCACGCAGGTGACTTTCGTTGGTGCAGGGATTTTAGTTTTCTTAGTATAAGTCAGGAGAAAATCGGATATTCCTTAGTCCATCAGCTGGCACTAGGTATGGGTAGTACTCTGAACTTGTAGGTATCTGGTTAACTGATCGGTGAAGTTGATGTTCAGGATTTCAGCCATCTCTAGTTTGGTAAAATATTCACCGTTAGGACCTATGAGTACACAAACACACTGCTCTGTAGATTTTATTTTAGTCATGAACCTAAAGAAATATTTCCGATTTGTCTGTATTTCTGCAGCTAGCTTCGTTTGTAAGTGCCTGCTATAGCCTGGAACTTTGCAGTTGAATCTGTTTCTCAGTCCTGGCCAAGACTATGTTCGGAATCCGTCAAAGTGACCACTTTTTCCCTCGTAGTGTGCTTTCAGTGCCTCACTCGACCAATTTTCTCTCTCCAGTCGTGCGATTTGCCTGAGGTTTATCATGTAGGACACTATTCTGAATGACCTCTCACTATTTGCCAGCGATCCTTTCTATTGGTCTCCACCATTCCTGAGGTTATGGGGATGATCTGGCATGTTCGTATAGTTCTCTCTAATGGAGCGAAGGTAGAAATAGTTTTCTTCCCCCAGAGTATTTCGTTTACAACCATGTCAAACATGACTGTCCCATGGCCACTACATCCTACTGGTGTGAGGACATGGACATCCTCGACAAAGAGATGATCATTTGTCAAGAAATAATCCAAGTTTGAGGGTTTTCCGTAGTTAGTTCGTTTAGTGGTGTTGCTCGCATACTCAGTCAGTCCGGAACTTTTAGTGGTTTTACCAAGTCTCCTTTGGAACCATCCTGTGTAGTTTATACTCTGTTTGATCATATTTAGGGATGCACTTTTGAAATCTCCAGCTGAGAGCAAGTGATTGGTCCCATGGAGTGGTAGTTTCAAGATTCCCTCAGTGAACATATCTTTTTGGGCTTCAGTAATTGAGGAGTCCTAGTAAGTCCTTTCAGTCAAGTATTTTGCGCTATTCGTGTCGAAGCAATACCAGCATATAGTATCAGTCATCGTTCAAACATATTTTCATTCCTCCTCATTCCTGACTTCCGATTTTACTCAGTTGTAGGCAGGCTCGATTAGGATGGCGTTACGGGCGGAACCATAGTCCAACTCTGAATATCCGTAACATCCTTACTACCAAAAGTATTCTAATTCTTTTGTAATGGATAGATAGCTGTTAAAAGTCCTTCTTTTGAATAATCCTGCAATTCTTCAACACTAATATTTACCCAATTATTTTTACTGGACACACTATAGCTTAAAGCGTTCTTCCGCGCATCCGCATTGAGAACGGTGTATAAGCCATGCTACGTGTTCTCTTGGTCAGCTTGGTTCATACGATTCTCAACGCGTCAGCTATCTTCTAAATATATCTTCGGACCTCTTTATTCGTGAATTTTAGTTTGGCTGGCCTAACTGTATACTACAAAAAACGTGAAGTCAGTAGCATGATGATAGTCCGTCACATCTCTGGGGAAAAGTTTACACTACCATTCCCTGAAAAGAGCAGGATACAACAGTTAAAATTTAGTTGAAGACACCCATCATGAAACTGACCAAAATTTGCCTCAAATTTACCAGGGTAATGTTATTGCGGTTAGCAACATATTTTAGGTCTCATGTCACCAAGCCACCTACATATTTATCAAAAAGTTAGCACTTCTAAAGTAGAGTATCCTGATTTGCATATGTTATTTATGCAAATGGACTATTTTACACTTTGAATATTTAAAAGTAAGTCCGCTTGAAGTCGTTCCAGTTCCACAAAAAATCTTATGTTGGCATCTTGACCGTACGTTTCGCTCCAAAGCTCAGGATTGTTATCTAAAAGTGATGTCTCAGATTTTTGATTGGAAAGGTCGTTTGTACAAATTAAAAAATTAGACATCCAAGTGGTGAACCCTAGTGGGCCTCACTAAACCATAATTTAATCTGTTAAAGTGGAAAGTTGACTTACCATCAAAACATATTCTCTGGATATAATCTAAGCTCATCTATATAATACTTACAAGTATAAGTCTATTGATATATCATACAACTAACTTCATCAAAAGATCTTGAGTAGTCGAGTCATAATGTAGGATTTCGGTTTAAGTTGGCATTTTTTTACTTATTTATGTTACTAGAATGATAGACTCACTCCACATTTGTAGACTTGTTTAACGTTACTATCAAATCTTAGGAAGTGTAGTTAAGGATCAATGCCACCACATTATTACATCTGCCTTCCCTATTCGATTGAGGAAAGTTATTAAACCTGCCGAAGTCGGCATATTTACGATGTAGAAATCACATTTTCTGCAGACTCATTGTCTGGGGGTTAACACGTTAATAGAGTACAAACAGTCACAGGGTCCAAAGGCTTTGAGGGCACTGAAATGAATTTCACCAGGTGATAGCTAGAGGAACCGCTTCATGAGAATTCTCTGAAAATCAGTTCGATATATGCCGTCACCCGACTATCTGGAACAAAACCTTTGTTTAGATAATGCAAGAGTAGTAAAGTTATTTAATGTCATGGGTGAAGTCGTTCCCATAGTAGTGAAGGAGCGAACCTTGCCCGGTTTAGACGTGTCTTTCTTAGCTACCGCCTCTGTGGTTCACCACTTTATGCCTAAATTAAATTTGGTTGAACTCTGTCATAAAGTCTCGCTAATCTGAGTTGTAAGAGTCATTTGTGATTTTTTGGAAATATTTTATTGCCAGGAACAGTAAAGTGTGACTTTCGTTGCTGGTCTGTACTTTATTATCTACTCAGTTGAGTAACTCCGCCTATAGCTCATAAAAAGAGTTATGGACGGTAAAAAAGGCTTTCTAAACTGCTGACGAATCTCTGGGTCGGCCTAATCTATAACTAATACTTGAACTGTTGTAGCGTCTCTGGGCAAGTAAGAAAATTCCCTCACCTCGAAACAATCACGTTTAGTGATCTCAGATTTTATGCTCAGTTAAAACGCTGAATGATAATGAGAAAAAATAGAATTCGGAATGGCTAGGAGTACTCTAGATCCCATAATCAAAATTATGATAAACACAGTGAACACATCTTAGAAGCGCTATACTTGGAAATCAAATTATCCACAAAAGCCACGTACAACATAATTCATCAGTGCAAATACCGTAAACGAACATAATCATAATAACTGGTAGTTAGATAAGAAGTTTTCTTTGAATAACGCGCATATACGGCCTTTGGTTCTTGTTCATGTGTCTGCATTTTGTTGATGACGGTAATACGTAATTGCCTTAGTTAGGTAGTTAAAAGTTAGTTGAACAAGACATACTAAGATAGAACGCTATATCTGAAGTATGCATTTAATACCCTACTTCATGTAGGCATTATATGTCATAATATAGTGCTTTCAATTTTCAGAGGTTCGCTTGTTTCAATTTATTTTTTTACAGTATTTCAAAAGGTATGAGCAAGTTAAGAAGGGATAACACTATTCTTTCCTTAAATATGGGGATTGAATTCAGTCCAGCTCCCAAGATGCCTGCTAAGCATTATAAGTTAAAATGCATCGCTTATGTTGACCGACATATCTGTTGAATATGAAGCACTATAGTGAAGAAATGTCAAACATGAAAGACTGAAAAACTGGTTTTTTTCCGAATGACTTTGTTATTTTAGTGCAGCAACAGACTAATAAATTATAATGATACGCAGAACTGATTCAATTCAACCGACACAGCAATTTAATAACAGAAATACTACTAAATTTTCAAGGTTGTTAGAGGAAATAATGAACGTTCTTTTAGAATTAAAAAGTCGAGTGAAAGGACCCCCACCCGTTTGACACCAACAAACACCTGAGACCGTACCGAAAGAAAGACAGTCGGTAGCGAAAAAACCAATTGGTTTACACTCGTTCGCGAAAAAGATATTGGATATTGAACGTCCTTAGAAGATCCTTCGTGCTCTGTTTGAAACGAATGCTACCGACATTTATTTCCAAATATCAGCTTGCCTTGTTTTCATGCTTGTGTTACATCTGATTGTTGTCGATTGCTTTCCCAACTAGAATTAAGTGCATTCTGTGTGCACGCTAATTCCTCTTCTCACTTTGCTCGTATTCTTTCCTCTTCTAGTTAACCTCACATAATGCTTCTTACTGCTACAGCACGCAAGGTAACTTCATGCTAAACACAAAATAACCGAAGCCTGAAGTTACACCGTTTTTGACTCGATACTATGCAGGTGTGTTTTCGTTATTGTCGCTAGCTTCTATTACACTTTAAATCCAGTCTATATACATATAACTGTTTGCTTTGTTCTAATAATGTTGAACGCCTAATTGTACCAGGGCATTATGGAAGTTCACCGATCTGATACTTTGAATATTCTGATTAGCTTTTTCAGAAATTTATACACGTCAGTTTTTTTGTCTAATATCATATGTATCAATGTGAGTATTGTGACTTCTTAAACTTGATATCTTCAGAAAGCAATATCAATCAATATAAAAAGTATGGTAAGGATTTTCTTTGCTGCATAAAAATATATCTGTTTAGTAATGCTTCTTATACAATAATATGGATTGTTTATCTTAGTACAGTTTTGTATATCTGCAGATAAAAAATTAATAGTTGTAGTGTTTCATCGTTTGATATTTAAAGATGAATGAAGGAAGACATGGTAATCTCTGTCACAGTTGTACGGTTCCGAGTTTATTCCTTTTTGTGAATAATCCTATGAGTATTACTTTTCATACTCTCATAATTTAGCATAAAATCATCCTCATTTGGAATCTTGTTTACCGTCTTTCTAATGATGATATTCAAATTCTTTTAACCTCCCATGTACGTATAATAATGAGGAATATGTCAATAGCTTGACTTAAAATGACATATCATTATGTCTGAAAGCTTCGGAGATTCCTGTTGTAGTTTGTAATGATTCTAGACCAATTTTATGTGTAATATTTTAGCACTCACACGATCACCGGTCTCTCTTACATTACTTTACAGTTGTAAAATGTATACGTAGGTTGCTAACCTCTGAACCATCTAAGTATCTTTTAAATATGAGGTATTACTATGATAAATGCTACTCATGAGCTTACTCGTAAGTGGTATTTAACGGAACCTCTTGTGACGATTTGTGTCACCATTCAAAGAAAAAAGTTCCTAGAGGTCGAAAATCACAGTGTATTCGGAATAATCCAGAGTCCGGAAGAGAATCGAGAGAGAACAGTTTAGAATCAGCTAGGGTTGCAAATGCTTGACTAGAGATTAGGTTTACATATAAAATAAATATTCTGTAGTTTGCTAGTTATACATTCTTCCTGACAGTGCCTGTTCTTACACCGTCATTGAGGAAGCAATCTTGCTTTTTTAAGGAAATGCAGAGGGTGGCAAATTGGCTGATAATGCTAACTAGCATACAAAAACCAGATTAATAAAACACATACAATTTAGGTAAATGAAAACACTAATTTTCATTTTGCGATGTTAAAATAGGATGCACCTACTTAAACCAATATACGTTTGTGCATATTATTAACAAAAGAGATTGAAATCGTTTATATATCACGTGTATCTGGTGCTCCTCTTGGTGCTGAGTAAATCCAATCGACCAAGTTGTTAATTAACTATTAGTTTTAATGGTTAAAAATTAAGTTTTAGTGTTAAATGGAGGTTTCGGGCTATTTGGTACTTATCATTATAGCGTATCTGCTATCTTTAGGGAACTTATACTCGCCAGCAGATTTGGACCTGAGTCACCTAGTTTCACAAAAACAGCATTTAACCCTACTTTTTTTCATTTGTAATTACGAATTGATCTTACATAGACTACAATCAAAAACCTTAAGGTAGTGGATGTCCGTTTTGTCCTAGTTATGGGACTTATCAACAGCGCGCATCCACTACCTCCGAAAGCGGAAATTGAACCCAAGACCTTTAGTCTACCTCAAAAACTCTATAGACCAACAGTGTTATTGTCTAACTTCAATCAATCCTTGATATTGAGCGTCTTTATCCATTGCCTGTAGCTGATAACTGCCTCACACCCTGTACGGACGAACTACTCTGCTCACAACTTCTCACCAGAACTCTGTGAGTGTACATCTTAAGGCTAGTCACTAATGAGCACATGATTGTTATTATTGAATGTGATTTGTGAAGATTTTATTATTTTCATAGCTGAACTCATGAATTAATCTTAGCTAGACCATTGTTTTTGTAAACCTAGGAGTACTTGATAAGCGTTCTGCCTTAACTAACGGAATCCTCAACAGTACGCATCCATGACCCACCCCCAGGCAAGTTATCGATCCATCTGAAACACTAATTTATCTAAATTTTCATGCTCAATTCATAAATCTTCCTCTTTCCCCTTATCATATCTAAACATCCATCTCTATGTTATATATCTTACCTTAAGCAGATATCAATCAAGAAATATATAGATCAAAATGCACCATCTTCACAAGATTTTTATCAACTTATACATTCATATCAATTGGAGTTTGGTGTTATTCTATTAAGAGATTATAAACAATTATTAGAAATTTATGAAAATATTGAATTGTCATCATTGGAAAATTTTAAAATTCACACTAATTATCTTATCCATTATACATGGACAAAATTGCATACAAATCATTGGAAAAATGTTCATCTATGTTGGCGTAAATTATATTCTTCATTGAAATTATTACTTGTATTATATAGTCTGCATAAAATTGATCCACAATCGGAGAATATTGATGAACACAGTGATCATTATTCTTCTATGTTAAAAGAATTAATCAAAGAATTAGATCTTAGTTTAATTATGGGTTATCCAATTTTTGATTGTTTCGCTTCGAAATTAGCCTCTAAACTTCACAGTATCGTCATGACAAAATCATCATCATCATCATCCATTCGATCGAATGAAGTTGACTTGTCAATTTCTTTTCAATTAGAACATGATCATGATCATGATGTGGACCAATTCATTGATGTGAATATTAAAGCTAATTTAAACAAATTAGATCGTATCGATTGTCCAAGTATTGAAGCATTTAATAATTTAATGAAATTAAACAAACCATTTATTATCATGAATGCAATTAATTTTTGGCCAGCTTATAATAATAATCAATTGAATACTGAGCATCATTGGACACTGAATTATTGGCGAACTAATTTCGGGCATCGATTAGTACCAGTGGAAATTGGTTCAAAATACACAGAAGAGAATTGGGGACAAAAATTGATGACAATTAATCAGTTTATTGATAAATATTTTCAGTCGACTACTACAGTGGACAAAACTGTCATGAAAGGATATTTAGCACAATATGAAATATTTTCACAAATACCAGAATTAGAAAATGATATTCATATACCAGATTATTGTAGTGTCACTGGTGATTTATTATCTACTGATAATTTGAATCAAATTGAAACAAATCTATGGTTTGGTCCAAAAAATACCATTTCTCCATTACATCATGATAGTGATCGAGCAAATTTATTAACACAAATTCAAGGTTTCAAATATGTTTGTCTGTATCCAGCATCAGAAACGAATTGCTTATATGCATACAATGAGAATATTATGTTGAATAATACATCGCGAATTGATTTAGACAATGTTGATTTAAAGAAATTTCCTAAATTTCAAAATGCTCATGGTTATTATGGATTACTTAGTCCTGGTGAAATGTTATATATTCCACCACGTTGTTGGCATTATGTCCGATCTTTATCGGCTAGTTTTTCAGTGAATTTTTGGTGGAATGTTTCAGCATCATTAATTACTTCATGGGGTAGTGATTAATATTTGTACAGAGTTAATCACTTCTTTTTTTTTGTATATTGTGATTTTTAGAGTATTGTTTTTTTTCTAGAGAGAAGATTATCTTTTACTGATTTTTATCTTGTGAAATAAAGATTTTTTCTAAAGGAAAGTGTGGATTTTGTTCTATCCAGAGTGATATTTTGAACCATGTTGCTCGAAGTCTCTGACCTTTAGCTATGATAATCACGCGGACCGTCAATCAGTCTGTAACAATGTAGAATTTGGCACGCACATTTCATTTCAATATTCCATACTACATTATTACACAGAGATGAAATTGTCAGTTAGAATTCCATTTGAAACCATGAATCGATCAATGTTAGACCACCATTAGAAACCTACAAGCACTGGACGGCCGTTTCGTCCTAGTATGAGACTCCTCAGCAGTGCGTATCCACGACTCCTGCACCCCGTAGGATTCGAACCCAGGACCTTCGCTATTGTAGGCGAACGCTTAACCATCAGACTACTGAGCCGGTATCTAACGGTCTTAATGTCTAACTTAATCAATTCACGGAGTTGCGCAACCTCATACACAGTCCTCGGTAGTTACTGTCTACACTCGAACAGGTTGAACTTCACTGGTCACGTCCTCCCACTAGAACTCGGAGATCCCTCACGAAGCTAGTCACTAGTGAGCACTTAACAATCTTCAAAACAACCCCGTAATGCAAGTTAGAATTCGTAGTATTCGAGGTAGTAGCAGTATTATTGGTAGTGGGAATGTTCATGGATCGGACTTATAAATCGGGTGAAATAAATTATTGCGGAAAGTCATGGAGAATTCGGAAGCTCACAGTTCGAGCGAAGACAAATAATGGATGTATCTGTGTCTATGCAAACGATTTTGAGCCATGCCATTCACTGTCTCCAACCATCGGTTACGATTGTCTTGCGGACCCCAACCAGGTCGTCTTCAGCTACTCACGTAGCTCAGTGACTTCATATACTAATGCCATGTTTTGGTTTGGCCGCCCCTAGCTTTATTCCAGCTTACCTGTACATCACAAACATCGCTCATCGAGGTAGTTGTTGGTTGGACAGACGTAACAGGTCCTAACCACCTCAACTGACGAAGGTTCATTACTCAATTAACTGATTTGCCATCCTTACTTAGCACCATATTCCTAATCCATGTATTGACATGCCTTTAGAGATAACACTTACCGTCTCGCCCTTCAGGAGTCTCCCTACCAGGCAATTCATTTGACTTAGAATATGCAGATGATAGAATTCTGTTTACAATGCAAGCATGTTCGGGATGGAATTATCCATCTCGGAATGCAGAATGCTACTTCATGACTGGTACCTGAACTAGTGATAGGGAGTGAAGTAGTTGAGAGTGTTGACCACTTCACTTATTTCGGGAGTCTCGTCAGTGCTGATCGACTAGTGTGTGATGGGACCTCAGCACGGATACAAAAGGCTCAACTGGCTTTTGCCGACTTGTGTCATTTTTGGCGTAGGCAAGATATCCGTCTGCTAACCAAAGGACCAGTCTACTGCTCATCAGTTCGCTTTGTCCTACTCTGTGGGTGTGGAACATTACCACTAAGAACAAAGGATATTCGTAGGTTACTAGTATTCGATCAAAGATGTCTTAGAAGCATTACTCGTATATATCCTGGGACCATTGAGTACACAATGTCTGGGTTAGGAATAGGATACTAGATAATAATCGTAAGTCAACTGATAGGGTGGTGAGTCTTCATCAGTTGAAGTGGTTTGTACGTGTTACGCCCGCTGAACCACTGACTACCCGGAAGAGCGATGTTGTTTGATGTAGAGTTAGGCTGGAGAAAACTCATTGACAGTTGGACTCAGTCATGTGAGTAGGTATAGACGAGCTGATTCGGGTCCGCAAGACAATCGTAACCGATCGTTTGCAATTTTTGAATGGCATGGCTCAAAATCGTTTGTATTGTTACAGATACATCTATTACTTGTCTTCTCTCGAATTGTAAGCTTTCGAATTTTCCATGATCTCCCTCAAAAATTTATTTCATTAGATTTAAATCTCCAAACCCTGGACATATTCACTACCAATATTACTGGTACTATCTTTATTAACTCTATTACTATTACTACTACTTCTCACTGAACTGACAGTTTCATCTCTGTATGCTAATGTGGTTAAACAACTTGAAATGATGTTTATACGTACCAAATTCTACGTTATTACAGACAGTTTGCTTATTCGCTGATGCCATAACGCACAAACGATTCTTCGAAGACACTTGTAAGGCCTAGCCTACCCTCATGGTTCAGTCTACTTTCAACACAGAATTCATGAACTGATGCCATGCCTTGATTTGTGCTTTCCTAGCTCTCTTCCAGATCACGCTATACAGTCGACGTAGGCTGTGCTTCAGCAAGCTTAATGCATCCAGTAAACTATCAATTCTGTTTGCGAAATATGTATTAAATAACGTCATTTTATTTGTAATGTCGGTACACTAAGATCCTACATTGTTTCATGGGGAAGGGCACGACGACGAAAACCACTCAAAGTATAGAAAGTATGCATAGTATTTGAAGATAAAAGAAACGGAGAGGCAAGAACAAAGTTGGTTAGCGAATCCTGCCTGATTGGTCACCTTGTGTTCCATAAGAGGTGACAAGCGTAAGGATATACGAGCAATGCTTCTTAAACATCTATGATCGAATACTAGTAACCTACGAAAATCTTCTACTCTTAACGGCCATGTTTCACATCCATATAGGAGAACGGAGCGAACTACTGGACAGTACACTCGTCCTTTGGTCAGCAAACGGATATCTCGCCTACGCCATAAGTGACGCAGGTTGGCAAAAGCCAATCGAGCCTTTTGTATCCGTGCTGAGTTTTCGTCACAAACCAGGCCATCAGCACTGATGAGACTCCTCAGATAAGTGAAGCGGTCTACACGTTCGACTACTTCACTCCCTATCACTAGTTCCTATGAAGTCGCAAGCCAATCCTGAAGCAACATTTTGCATTTCGAGTGGGAAAACCGCATCCCGAACATGCTTGCATTGTTGCTTAGGGTAGTCAGAAGATTCTGCATTTTGTCAGCGTCTTCACCGAATAGAACTATGTCATCGGCATATCCTAAGTCTGTTAGCGATTTTCCCGGTAGAAGGTCAACCCCCTGAAAAATCTGACGAGCTTAATGTTAACTCTAATAGAATGTCTACGACAAAGTTAAACAAGAATGGAGAGAGTGGACAACCCTGACGGACACCACTTGAAATAAGGAATTCCGATGACAGTTTGCCATAAGCTCATATTGTCAGACACTACGGAAGATGGAAATGTTCAACAATTCAAAACAATGATTCTTTTTTCTAAATCATCCAGATAGAAGTTAATTGTAAGCAATTCAGAAGAGTCAATCAAACAGCAGAAATATTCTCTAGATACCTGTTATGCTAATGATATTTAAGACAACTGCTTGGTTCCAGTTAAAGGAACGTGTAGCCAGCGAGACAACAATAGGACAAAACTCAGCTGCTCTTTTATGTCATAATCTAACTAGTTAGGGTCAGTAGAATAATAAGAAAACTATACTAGATATCTTAAATCTCTAATCATTCATCCCATTTTCTTTTGTGTTAATATCTTTCGAAATGCACATGAATTTTTTGTTGTTGACATAATTAACTTGATCACACCGTTCATATTAAATATTACACTCGCACAATATGACTATTATTATTATTATCTCTTTGTTGAAGCAAATTTTTCCCACTATGGCATTTTATTCACACTGTGGTGTGAGCTACTTATAAGTAGTATATGACGTGAGTGTCAACGTAATGTCTGGCAGCAGAAGATGGGGGAAGAACAAGAAAGGAAGAGTTAGAAAACAATGGAATTTGTATGAAACGCATGAACAGTGACAATGGATTGATGTTTTGCATCAGGAACAGTCCAGTTCTATATGATGAACTGATATTTTGCAAATGAACGATTTACGATATAGTGTTCCGATTTTACTGAGTAACTCTGTAATTTTCGTTATGTCCAATTCGGTTGCCCCACCTGTGTTCTCCTTCACTACAACACGACTTATTGTACTAATTATATCGACTACAATTTAAACCGTCCTTTTTTCACTTACTTTACGCCTGTTACTGCCGACCAGCATTCTCCAACCTATTCTGTCCTCGGCCTTCTTTTCCAGTTCTATCCAATCACTGTTTCATTCTTTTCACGTTTTCGTCCGAATCTCGACTTAATGTACTATGTGGTCTGCCTCTTTTCCTTTTTCCCTGAAGATTCCATGCGTCGGCTTGGTTTGTGACACAGTTGGGTGCTTTCTGCAATGTGTCCTATCCACCTCCTTCTTGATTTCTTCCTCTGAAGGAATCTGATTTGTTCTCTCTCACAGTAGGCTGTTGCTGATAATGTCTGGCCAATGGATCCTCAGTATTTTGTGTAGACAAGTGTTAACAAACACTTGTTTAATCTGTTCACATTAGAATATAAAACTGCATCCAATGTTACATGAGTAGAAATTCGTTTTGCATACCACATAAATGTTTTCTTATTATCATGAAATGAAGTGACTTTATGTAGATTTACAATGAATATTAATGAGAGTTCAGTGTGTTTACAAATTTTTCGAGTACACAGGGCTTGACCCCTATGTTTGAACAGTTTACTGAATCCGTTCTTCTGGAGTGCTTATTCACATGTGTTTCGATCTTGCCGCGTTGGTTCGCTTCTTATAAATTGGTTGTTTTTCCTCTAGTGTTTATGTGCATGCTTAGTTCGATTGTTACAAATCTGGCTTCTCTGACTATAAATATACTTAGTCATGTCTTATAGCATTGATCTGGCTCACTCACCTTCTCCACTTCGCTTGGCTTTGCCTTTACTCACTCTGTTCTCATGTCTGTCTGCGCGGACGGTTCGATGAAATAAGTTCATCAGCAAAACCGTATTTGGCTTCTTATTACTGCAGTCAATCAAACGGAGTTCTCCTAAGTAAAATTTACGGAAATAAAGGGGAAGATTTATTTCACAGCATACGTAATTAGTTGTCCAAACTGGGATCTGCTCGAGGCCTACTGAAGTGGTGAGCCCTACTTCAAAATATAACTCAACCACTAAAAAAGTAATTTTTATCATGAAATCTCAGCATTTTAAAATTATGAGATGATATGTCAGGTTCAATACATGTTTTACTTAATTATGAGACTACTATTCACGGGATATTGATGATAACATCTCCGTATCGGCAAACAGAACGTATAACCAGCTTCACAATATTAGGATGAAGTTAAGCTATTTTATTATGCTCCAGTCCAGTTAATTCGAGGGAGAAGTTCAAGATTCTTCTAGATGAGAAGCACAAACTGAAGGCAGAATAATGGACATTTTTTTGGCTCGAAAATAATCAATTCAAATTGCCATAGATAAATTACAAAATTGAGAAATTTACCGAATGATTTTTGAGTGTCTAGCATCTCTAACAATACCTTGGTAAAATTTTAAGAGTTATGTTTTGTAGTGTAAGAGTAGGTTGAAAGAAAGCTAGGGGCGACCAAACCAAAATATGGCGCAAGTCCATGAAGTCACTGGCAAGTGGACTGAGTCATGTTGGTAGGTGAAGAGTACCTGATTGGGGTACGCGAGACAATAGTAACCGATGGTTAGAGACCTTGAACGACACGGCTAAAAATCGTTTTCAATGGCACAGATGCATCCATTCTTTGTGTTCCCTGAAATTTTAATCTTCTGAATTCCTCATCACGTCTATCTTTCTTTTTATAAATTCATCTCACTGGATTATATTTCTTGAATAACATCTGTGAACCCTAATCTTCCTCATTAATGTTAATACTTCTACTATCTCTACCACTATGGGATTTGAACCGACAATTGCTGACCTGGTATGGCAACCTGAACTGATGTACCTACGTACGAAGTTCTAAGTTGTACCTGACTGACACTGACAATGAAATTGTAAAACTTTGTTCTGCCTCATCAATGTAATCATGGTATTGAACGACCTAATCATTTTATTGTCTTCAGTAGGCAATTGTCTTCACATCCGACATAGTTGGACTCCACTGGTCATAGATTCTCACTAGAACTTTGAGAATTCCCTAATGGAATTAGTCATCAGTGAGTACATGGACTTGTTCAGCATGGAAGCACTAAACGGCTTTTTCATCCTATTATTGGACTAGTCAGCAGTGCGCATTCACAACTCTCACTATTCGCAGGAATTGAACTTAGGACTTTCGGTCTTGGTTGCGAACGCCTAAACTCTGGACTTGTCATTTTGTTCACAGGATTGTAAATTCATTCATATAGTTGATTTTATGTTTTCGAAGACCTACTGCTTCCTACTGAAATAATAAATACATATAAACGAATCATGTTATTCTCGATTAGATCTTCACCAAAATTCTATTCTTACATGAAGTAATGACTATATGTTTTGATTTAAGAAATAAATAATAAATCAGCTAGACCGAAGGTGCTGATTTCGAATCCTGTCAGAAGCAGGAGTCGTGGATGTGCAGAGCTGATAAGTCCCATATCAGGACGAAACCGTCGGCCAGTGCTTCCAGGTTCCTAAAGGTGTTCTAACAATGATTCATTCATCACTTCAAGGTGAAAATAAACGCAGATTATGTAATTAAACATAGATCAGAGTTCGAATAGACAGTGTAATGACAGGTGTACTGATAATATTCATAAGAATAATACATGCTTTAATCAGGAATTAGGTCAAAACTTCGTCAATATGAGTTTACAAATTCAGTTACTCGTGTAGATCTAGCTATATATTAGGTGTACCACCAGGCAACTTAACTAACGTATGAATGAAAATATTTTCTGATGCTTTAGCAAACTCCAGACGAACACAATACGCAGCCCCATATATGATCGACAGTGAATATGTAATAGACAGTATTATTCTTGGTTAACCAGCAACCCTACTGCACATGCACGCCGTTGCATCTTAAGCGACACAACGATTCTCATAAGAGCCTACATTACGATCACACCTCCCCCTTACGGAAACGCACATGTTGTCTAGGTCGGTCTGCAGACGAGTGGATGTCCAAAAAGCATGCACACGAGCAGTGGCCCCCGTTCGGGCACTTATGAATCTACATGATCCCTCCAACCAGTTCACTACCCACAATCCCCAATCGGCAAGGGCGGCAAAACGGGCTTCCCCAGCTAGACCTGGCACCCCGTACGGATTACCAAAACACCCAGCAGTACACTAACCAGCAGTCGTTCCAACCGTCTGGCCTCCAAATGCCTTGCGCTGATACAATCCACTGGAGCCCTTAGACCCCACGTGAAGCTAAAGATTGAGTTTATCCCACAAGGTCAGCCGGAACGTTCACCGTCCCATAGGGTAGTAATAGATAGAATTAAATCATTTCCAGCATAGAGCTATAGGAATTCTAACCTATTTGAACACTTCATATGACAATGTATTAACAATCCTTATTTCTTTGCCCAATATTTCTCGTTTTTATGTTAAAACAAGGCCTGATAACGAACTATTATTAATCAGAAACAATGTTGTTCATTTACATGCATTGTTCTAATTTTCACAATGACCTTTTTATAGTACTTATTATTAGTAAGTAGTTTAAACAACAATGTTTAATAATTTTACAGTTTGATTCAATTCGAACATGGCGGTTCATCAACCAAACACCATTCAGTCATCATCCTTTGGGATGGGGCTTATTCTGCCGCTGGAAAATAATCCACTTAACAGACATTGATTGTGGCTGGTGAGTGACCTTCATAAGATTTGTGTCACCGGAGGCGAATAGTGACAATTTGATTGAATCATGTTGTGTCTTGAATACTCTTACGCAATCACTGCATACTTTAAGTTCTAGACTAACTAGGATAGTATAGTATAGTATAGTATAGTAATAATTGTATAATTATGTGAAATCAAATCAAGTTTATTATGCAAAAAATATTATTATCAATGACCAAAAATGAATTGGTCAAGTAGAAGAACACAGAAATCACTGGAATCATTGTTGCACTAATAACTATCCCATTTAATTAATCATGACTTAAACAATTACTGCATGATAACATTAATGGATTGGTCATTGTTGGCGGTTGAATATAATGTTGACATGAAAATGGCATATATTCATAATTGTTCAGCAATCGATCATTATGATAATCACATGTAGTAGTAGTAGCAGCACTAGCAGCAGTAGCGGGATTCACTAATAATAAAACTTTTGCATCCGATGGATGATGATAGCCATTGATTGGACAATATGATTGTATGGATTTGATTGGATTAATCATTTGACAAGGATAGACAACATTGAGTAGATGTTTTGAATTATTGCTGCTTCCGCCGCCATAACCGCCATGTTTTGTTGTTGTTATTTCATTCAATGGATTACTACTACTACTGGTTAAATGATGATTATTATTGGCATCATTCATTTTCATTAATTGTTTACAATCCGATGTTGAACATTGAATAGCATAATTATTGTGATTATTGTGATTACCATTATGAATATGATGATGATAATGATTATTATTATTATTATTATAATTGTTATTATTATTATTATTGTGAATATGATTCATCAATGATCTATTCGAACTGGATTGATGAAATATAGACTTGATATTATCAGAATTCAAATGTCGATAAACATTGAGTTGTTTTTTAGTGAAAGTAAATTTATCCAATGTAGTGTGATTAGAATCAGTGGACATTGTGTTGGAAGAAGATTTGTTGATAATTTTTGTTGTAAATATTGTTTGGAAATAAAAATTCTTTTATTCAATCAAGTGCGTGAAATGAAAGCGGTGGAATGCTTTTCTTCGTTTATAACTGCTTACTTATTGTTGTTCAATTCAACTGCACAATCATTGACATAAGAATCAATAAACATATAAATTTAAATATGATCAGTTCATCGATCGTTATGATTGACGATATGACAATGAAAGGTTGAAATTATTCGTTGATTCAGTAGAATTTCGTCAGTACTACAAGAAATATTGATTAATTGGTATAATTAAATTGTGTCAAGGTATGTTGGTTGTTAAGAAATGAATGAGAAATTTAGTAGTAGTAGTAGTTGTAATAGTAGTAGTAGTAGTAGTCTGTTGATTGCAAAACAGTGAAGGGATATTAAAAAAAAAGTAATTTCAATCAAGTATAAACAGAAATTCCACATCCATTTGGAGTTGACCTGTTTTACGAAGAGAAAAGTGTACTTTTCCAATGATGAAATCGAATCGAGACTGGATATCGTTAGTGTTATCATCGGTCCACCAGCAACAACCAACTGTGGGAGAGAACAAACCAGATTTGAACAGAAGAATAAATCAGAAAGACTCGTTGGAATTGGATAGAACTCAACTAACTTGGGATCCTCAAGGCAAGGAATAACACAGAGCACATAAAGCTGAGAATTGGAAGCAGACATCGAAAGAATCAATAGCCTTTGAGTAGAACTGGAAAAGAAGGCTGAAAAATGCTGGTCGGCGGCCTATACTCCATGAAGTGCAACAGGCATAATAAGTAAGCAAGTAAGTAAGTAATCATTTGTCCATTAGGTAAAATTCTCTAATCTTAATACTATCAGGTAAGGTATCATGTGAAATGAAAAAGGATTAAAGATCAGAAACAACCATTGCTAAATTAAGTGTTAGGATTTAAATCTGTATATTGTTTAAATTACGAAAAGCACCTAACTGCGTCACGAGACAAGCCCTCACATGGAACCCTCAAGGCAAAAGGAAAAGAGGAAGAGACCAAGGAACACACAGTACGCAGAGAAATAGAGAAAGATATGAGAGGAATGAACAAACATTGGACAGAACTGGAGAACGAAGCCCAGGACAGAGTAAGTTGGCGAAAACTGGTGGGCAGCCTATGCTCCATTGGGGGTAACAGGCGTAACTAACTAACTAACTAATTGTTTAAGTTAAGAACTAGAAACCTGTAAATAATATCTTTTAAGCTACATACTTAATATTCAGCTTTACATAGTTTCTGGTTTCATTTATTTGTATATAGTACAAAAGATTACAAATTTATTGTTTGAAATCTAAATTAGGAACAGTTGGTATGATTTCTGAAAAACATAACTGATCACTTTTAACTGTCATGAATAAGTTAATATTCAATAAATTTTCATAAATAGAGTAAGGTATTAGTTACCTACTTATACTAATCCGTTGTACTCGATGAAATATTCAGATGCAATAAAGAATAGTAAAATAAGCTACAACTTTTCCCGGATTCCAGATACATTATATATAGCATAGAACTTGCGTTTTCATGTTGATCAGTACGATGTGATTTGTTTTAAGAAACTTGTCCAATCATAAGTAACCTGAATTATAATATAAACTTTTATATTGATAACTAGCTTGTTATAACAAATATTTCTATTCTATAGATTGCAGTATTCACTTCAATTGATGTGAAAATATTATATTTCAGCACATATTATACTGCCTTAGGACTTAGAAACGTGTTCTTGCAGTGAAACATATTCTTTATACCGATTATAAACACTTATCAGATGTATTTAGTTTACAGACCGCTTCAATTATCTCGGGAGTCTCATTAGTGCTGATGGCCTGGTGACTGACGGATACAAAAAGCTCGATTGGCTTTTGCCAACTTGCGTCACCTATAGCGCAGGTGAGATATCCGTTTGCTAACCAAAAGACGAGTCTACCGCGCAGCAGTTTGCTTCGTCGAAGGACCTTCGTAGGTTGCTTGTCCTCGAATTATTGCTCGTATATCCTGGGACAGCCGAATAAGCAATGCTGTCGTTAGGAAACGAGTACTAGGTAGGGATGGAAGATCAATCGATGAAGTATTTTAACTCCATCATTTAAGGTGGTTGCGAAATGTGTCACAAATACCCAACCACCGACTGCCTCGACGAGCTATATTTTGTGGTGTAGGATTAGGTTGGAAGAAAGCTAGGGGCGGCCAGACCAAAACATGACAGAAATCCATGAAGTCAGTGACAAGTGAACTGAGTCATGTTGGTAGATGTAGGCTTCCTTGTTGGGGTCCGCGAGAAGTATGTCACCAATTGTTATAGACCTTGAAGTACATGGCTTAGGATCGTTTGCAATGGCGCAAGTTCATCCACGCTTTATGTTCTCGCAAATTCTAACCTGAATTCCTCGTCATCCCTATCTTTCGCTTTCTAAATTTATCTCACTCAATTATACTTCTCGAATCATATCTTCGCTCCCTAATCTTCTCCATTACTACTAGTACTTCTACTATCGCTACCACAATTGGATTTGAACTGACAGTCGCGTCTCTGTACTAGTGCGGTATGGCAACCTGAACTGATATACATACGTAGGAAGTTCTACGTTGAAGATTGTTCTATCTCAACCCCTTAAGCTTGATTAGTTATTATGTTTATTTTGATTGTCTCCTTCTTTCAGTTGATTGCTGATTTTCTTTGAAATCATGAATCGATCAATGTTTGACCAACATTAGAAACCTAGAAGCACTGGACAGCCATTTCGTCCTAGTGTGTGGGACTGTTTAACAGTACGCATACACGACCCTCACAAGTAGGAATCGAACTCAGAAACTTCGGTATTGTGATACTTCATACATTCTCATCGATGGGCGCTGAGTTCGCGTGCAAGATCGAAAGTCTTAGGTTCGATCCTAGTGAGCGGGAGTCGTGAATACGTACTACTGACGAGTTTCATAACAGCACGAAACGGCCATTGAGTGCTTCTAGGTTTCTAATTGAAGTCAAACATTGATTCATGATTTGAAAGAAACTCAACCAATCTCAACAACCCCTTAATCATACTTGATTGTATATTGTTCTTCCACGATTATTTCTATTTGACTGATAAATTTTAAACTCCACCTAGAGCCCTTCGAGAGTTACTGCCAGTCTCAAGACAGCATAAATGAGAAGAGTTAAGCATCGGGTTAGCAACTCCATCCCGCATAAATCCAACTCGCTAATAAAAAAACGCCAACCGGAAACATACTTCGCTGATCGGTGGCTGATACTCCATTAGGGCGGTAACAGGCGTAAATAAGTAAGTGATAAATTGTATGATGCTTCAATAATCTTTGTTGATTACGAATAGACTTGAGTTATTCAAAGTAACAAATAAGGCTGAATCACAAAATAAATTATCTCAAAGATTATAGCTTCAGAAAATCATCTTCTTAAGTAAAGTAAAACATTGCCATAATCTTGCGTGTAATTCTCAGCTCATAAACAAAAAGGCAGCACTTTGTAAATTCTCTCACTTTTTTAAGCCAAAAAAGCAACATTTTCCATCTTGATACTGTTATATAATAATAATAGTTAGTTACTGTCTACACCCGAACAGGTTGAACTTCACAAGTCAAGACCGAAGGTCCTGCAAGGTGCAGGAGTCGTGGATGCGCACTGTTGATGAGTGCCATACCAGGACGAAACGGCCGTCCAGTGCTTTCAGGTTTCTACTGGTGGTCTAACATTGGTCAATTCATGGTTTCAAAATGAGTAACTTAACAATCTTCACAACCTCGTAATGCAAAAATATTTTTATTCAAATTATTTAAAACTGGTCAGCGTTGTATTCTGTGCGATGTTGGCTCTCTCGTAGGAAAGCACCCAACTGTGTTTTGTCACAAGGCAAGCCAACACTTGGAATCCTCAAGTTCAAAGGAAAAAAGGAACAACAAGGAACAGATTACGCTGAGCATGGGAGACAAGCAAGAGAAGAATGAACAGTAATTGGACAGAACTAGAAACGAAGTCTGAGGACAGAGTTGGTTGGAGAATGCTGGTCGGCAGCCTATGTTCCACTAGAGGTAACAAGCGTAAGTTAGCGAGTAGAACATCTCAAAGTTATGTAATTTATTATATTACAGGTAGATTTTTATTCATCTAAAATGAACAAATTAGAGGAGAGAATGACAATGTCACTTTTTTCTGGTGCTTATTTTGTTATTCTTTTTCTGTAGCCGACAATAATTTTGAATATCGAATGTGTACCAATCAAATCGCTACACTGCGGATCATATTTTGGAACAATCAGTGGATCACTCTACATCAACTTCAATGACTACGAGAAAAGCATTTGATAGTATGGACAGGACAACACTATGAAGGCTTCTTCGACACCATAGTGCGCCTGGGAAGGTAGTCAACATCATACGGGATTCTTACGATGCATTAAACCACAAGATCGTGAACGGAGGACAGTACACAAGCTCGTCCAAGGTAAAGACCGTTGTCAGGCAAAGTTTGACGAGCTAGACTTTATAGATGATCTGGCTTTTCTGTCGCACACGCAACAACAAATTCAAGAGAAGATGACAAACGTAGCGACAGCAGCCTCTACAGTAGTAAGTCTCAACGTACACAATGGAAACAGTAAAAAACCTTCAATGCAACACAACGTGCACCAACCAAATAAAACTTGATGGAGAAGCTTTAGAGGATGTAGAAACCTTTTCATATCTAGGCAGCAGCATCGATAAGCAAGGTAAATCTGATGTAGAAGTAAAGACACGGATAGGTAAAGCAAGGGCTGCACTTCAACAGTTGAAAAATATCTACAACTCAAAGCAATTATCGACAAATGCCAAAATCACAACTTTCATAACAAATGTCAAATAGTTTTACTGTACGGAGTGAAAATTGGAGAACTACAAAAGCCATTGTCCAGTAGATGCAGGTGATTAATAGCAGTTGTCTGCGCAAGATACTGTGAATCCATTGACCAAAAGGCATCGGTAACAGCCGAATGTAACGGATAAAAAACCAGATTATAGCTGAGGAAGAAATTAGGAAGAGGCGATGGAGTTACATAAAACACATTGAGGAAATCACTCAACTGTATCACAAGGCAAGCCCACAACTGTAATCCTCAATGCCAAAGGAAGTGAGGAAGGCCAAAAAACACATTACTTCGAGAGTTGGAGAGAGGCATGAAAAGAATGAACAGCAGTAGGATAGAACTAGAGAGGAAGGATAGAGTAGGGTAGAGTAGGTCGGAGAATGCTATTTGGCGGCTTATGCTCCATTGGGGGTAAAAGGTGTAAGTAAGTAAGCCAACGATAGTCTCTAGTATGACATTGTATGTACAGGAATTTGTTATATTGAAAGATTGACTCACAATACTTTCATCAATCATGTAAGGACGATTTTTTAAAATAACTAAAACAACTCCGTCCTACTATACGGCTGCGAAACATGGCCGTTAAGATTAGAGGACTTTCGTAGATTGCTTGTCTTGATCATAGGTGTCTCCGAAGCATTGCTCATATATTGTGGGATGACCGAGTAAGCAGTGCTGTCGTTAGGAAACGAGTACTACGTAAGGATGGCAGATCAATAGATTAAGTACTTAAACTCCATCATTTAAGGTGGTTGGGACATGTGTTACAAATACACGACCACCGACTGCCTCGACGAGCTATGTTGTGTGGTGTAGGATTGGGTTGGAAGAAAGCTAGGGGTGGTCAAACCAAAACATGACAGAAATCCATGAAGTCATTGACAAGTGGACTGAGTCATGTTGGTAGATGTAGGCTACCTGGTTGGGGTCCGCGAGACGAAAGTCACCAATGGCTAACCATTGGTGACCTCTAACCTTCCGAATTTCTCATCACCTCTATCTTTCTCCTTCTAAATTTATCTGTACATGATGAAGAGCGTGGTCAGCTTAGGCGCAAACTGATCAAAAGCCAACGTAACGACCGTGAACAGTGGTGGGTGGCGAAAGCAAAAGCGATGGAAAAGGCAGCGGCGATAGGCAACATTAGACAACTTTTCCGCCTTATTAAAGAAACTGGTATTAGGAACCCGAATGTGAGTGAGACTATTTCGGAAAAGGATGGTCTTATTATCCATTCTCAATCCAGGAGATTGGACCGATGGGCAGAACACTTTAGAGATCAGTTCAACTGGTCTTCAGCCACACTTCGGTCGCCCACGATCCCCAGTCATCCTGAATGGCAAATCGATTTAAGTCCTCCCAGTTTACATGAAGTTGAGAAAGCTATAGGAAATCTAAGGCGAGGTAGAGCAGCAGGTCCTGATAGGCTTACCCCTGAGATGTTTAAGGATGGTGGTTTAGTTTTAACAGTTAGACTGACCGAGATCACAGGTAGAATCTGGGAACTCGACGTAATCCGATCTGAGTGGTCTCAATCCCAAATTGTCCCAATTTATAAGAAAGGACAAAAGTCCTCTTGTGACAATCACGGGGGAATAAGTCTAAATAATATAGTTTCTAAATTGTTAGCCTCGATTATACTTAGACGCCTAACTAGTGCTCGTGAAGAGCGGACTCGAGAAAACCAGTCTGGTCTCAGGCCTGGACGTGGCTGTGCAGACCACATTTCCACACTACGACAGGTCCTGGAACACAGACACACATTTAGGCCTCCTACAATAGTTGTCTTCCTGGACCTTAAGGCGGCATTTGACTCAGTGGATCGTGAGGTTCTGTGGCAGTGTCTTCCAATGAAAGGTATACCAAAGAAGAACACTAACCTTATAAAAGCTCTCTACTCGAACACTACAAGTCGAGTGAGAGTTTATGGAGAAGTGTCATCGGAATCGGTTACCTCGAGTGGTGTTCGTCAGAGATGTCCACTTTCTCCATTCTTGTTGAATTTTGTCATAGGCATGCTTCTAAACATAACGTTATCTTCGTCTGACTTTTCAGTAGACATTCTTCCAGGAAATTCATTGGTTGACTTGGAATATGCTGATGACATATTTCCTCTTGGTGAGGACGCTGACAAAACGCAGTGTCTCTCGAATACCCTAAGCAACAATACAAACATGTTTGGGATGCGATTCTCCGCGTTGAAATGCAAAATGTTGCTTCAGGATTGGCTTGCATCGGCACCTGAACTAGTGATAGGGAATGAAGTAGTTGAGTGTGTAGACGACTTCAATTATCTTGGGAGTCTGATGACCTGTAGTCACTAGCAAGTGGACTGAGCTAACTTCGTAGGTGTAGACTACCTGGTTGGGATATGCGAAACAATAGTAACCAATGTTTGGGGGCCTTGGACGACATGGTTCAAAATCGTTTGCAACAGCGCAGGTAGATTCATTCTTGTGCTCTCTGAAATTCTAATATTCTGAATTCCTCATCACCTTTGTCCTCCCTTTTCTAAGTTTATTTCACTAGATTCTACTTCTTGAATAATATCTTTGAACCATAATCTTTCCGATTACTGCTAATACCTGTATTAGCTCTACTAACTATGGGATTTGAATCGACAATTGCGTCTCTGTGTTAATGTGGTGTGGTCACTTAAATATTTTAACAGTATAAGATAGTGATTCTCATCCTTCTTTTAATAACTGTTTGGTCCCAAATAACCATTTCTGTAAGTCTAATGTATTTGACTCAGTGGCAATGTCTTTAGTAGCACAATAGCTTTCTTAATATTATAACTAGAGTCACTTAGAAATAGGCCGAGTGATGACTCATTGTTTCTCTGTAACCCTACACTAATCAGATCGTTGGGTGTGTGTAAAAACACTAATCACCATGACTGTAACCGGAAAAATTGTAATATAGATTTTTAAGCAGTACACTTTCAAGGGTTAATCGTTCAATAAAATAACTAGCTTAATAATATTCAGTTTAGTTATATGTATATTTGTAAACATACTATTTTGACGTGAATAATTTGTTTTCAACAAAACACAACATAAAGTCATGTAATCTCTCATTTCCACATATAAATCACTAGAAAGTGTTACAAATTTATTTTTGAAGGTATTTCTTTCCCAGAACAAGAAAGAAGAACACAATTGTCTTAACGTAGGCCATAATCTATATATTTATTTAGAAAATTGTTACGAATGAGAATTGAAATTTATCGTTAAAAAAAAGAACAACGTGAGGGAATTGGGAATCCAGCATATTATTATATTAGCAAATTAACAAATCAACAAACACGTTCTAGTTATACACACACACGCGCGCACACACATCAATATGTTTGGATGATGAGCGGTCGAGTGGAGAATACGTCTATGTAATATGTCTAGATTTTGCATATGTATTTTTTTCTTAACGTAGACTAACACTGAAATCAACAGGTCGTCTAGATTGAACACTGCCAGATGAACTAATATTGAATAAAGCTTTGCGGACAACATCTGCATCTACTTCGACTGGAACACCTGATTTATTCATTGATTCTCGAATAACTTGTTTTGCTTGTGTTTCAGTTTGTTTTCTGAAAAAGTTAACAATTATAAAGAATTACATGAAAAATTACAATTAAACAAATTTGCATTACGGGGTTGTGAAGATTGTTAAGTTACACATTTTTGAAACCATGAACCGATCAAGTTAGACATTAACACCGTTAGATACCGGCTCAGTGGTCTAACGGTTAGGGCGTTCGCGCACAATACCGAGGGTCCTGGGTTCGAATCCTACGGGGTGCAGGAGTCGTGGATGCGCACTGCTGAGGAGTCCCATACCAGGACGAAACGGCCGTCCAGAGCTTCCAGGTTTCTAATGGTGGTCTAACATTGATCGGTTCATGGTTTCAAAAATTAAACAAATGTCAAAATAATAAACTTTTTTACTAATAATTTCTGATTTGTAAAATATGCAAACAATAAAAAAGTGTCAAAGAAATGAAAAATTAAAAACAAATAAAATGCATTCACCTTCCATAATTAGGTCCAAGTCTTGAGGCCATACGAGCTGAAGTGTCACGTTCACTGGGTAATTCACTAACTGGTGTAGTAAGACTGACACGCATTGGACGACCATCTAATTCACGACCATTATAACGTTCAATAGCTTCAAGTGCATCGGAAGAATGATTATATACGACTTCTGCTTGACCAGGACGTGTAATAGTACATAGGCGTAAACTTCCAATACTACTAAATAGTTCCTACGAAAAAGAGTATTTAAATTAAATTTTTGTGATATTTGTATAAAGTGATTGAGAACACAAAATATGATTTTGTTCGTTGGTGCAACAAGTCTGTTCATCAAATATCTGAGAAAAAGAATATAACACACAAACAAAAGGAGCAGTGTGTTGAGTTGTTTTATTTTTAAATGGACATTTTTTAGTTGAAAGTTTTCAACCGTTTATGTCTTTGCAGTATTGCTAACGTATCATGAAACAAACGAGTAGATAGTGATGAGACTAGATGCAGAGCACTTGGTAAGGGCGATGAATTGATTGATGAGACAGTGAATATTCATCACACTGAATTACGTATGCCCAGCCACTACTTACCTTAGCGTGCAATGTTCACTGGTATACGAGTAAGCTGAAAGATGGGGGCTACTGGACTGAGCTATTTAGCTAAATGGTCGATGTTTGCGTGAAAACCGTAATCAGTGACTTTCAATGCCTTTTAGAACTATATTCTCAATGCTTAGCCGTTCTCATCACCGTTGCCATTGCATTGTTTTGATTTGTTGCGCTAATGCGGAACGAGAACTTCGACCGAAGCACTTATGTGACAGGCACCATATCGATTAATACTGACAGAGATGTGGATTGTGTCAAGTAGTTAGAGAGGTAAATCGTGAGAAATCGAGACGTTGAGAATATACCTTGAGACGATAGGGTGGAAACGCATACATAAAAAAATTCAAGATTGAGAAGAAAGGTGTATGAATGGTCTGCGTCATTGTGAACGATTCTAAGCCTGAAGTCTCGAGTCAGTGGCTGTGATTAGTGAAAGAGTCACAACCTGAAATTGAGAACCGCCCTCATACCTGTAACAGCACACAAAATCACCTCATTTATAAGCGAATTGCATTTTCTGTGACTTACTGGATTAAAAATCAACAGTGAAAATCGAGGAAAAAAATAGTGTAAACAGAAGTTTATCTGAAATAACGAAATGGATAATTAGTCGGATTCATTTTATGGAGTTTGAAAAATAGTAATAACGACGATTTTAAGACATACAATCACACTAGTCTATCAACATGAGTATGTGGAGATCATTGAATATGCTGACTAGTCACTGGCTGCGAGAGTGAATTCTTGGGACTTTAATTAGTCCTATCCTATTAGAAAGTCACCGACCAAAGAATAATGAGAGATGATCGCACAATATCATGAATTGATTGAAGTTAGACTTGTAAATCACTTTATCCCGATTCAGTGGTCTACAGGTTAAGCGTGAGAGCGCAAGGTCCAGTCCCTTACTACGACGTAACGGCTATCCAGTGCTTCTAGGTTTTGAGTGGATGCTTGACTTCGAACATTCTGTGGTCTTAGTAAAAAAAATACTAAAATATTTTGTACGCTCAAACCTGAAATGCGATATTTATGTCACTGTGTAACTGAACAGTTGACAGTGAAACAGTTCCATGAGTAGGACACTTTACTCGGTTTCGGATTTTCACCAACTGCGACGACTTGATGACTGACAAAACCACGACATGCATGTAAAAACCTTCTTAGGTTTCCGTCAATATACATTATCTGCACGGGAGATGAAAAGTTTAGCTTTCTTCCACAGAGTATACACGGTACACGGTATTGAGCTGTCTTACTTTACAGAAGTGGAATAGCGCCTGTTTATGTTGGATACATGGGTAGGTTGCTATCACTTGAAAAAATAGCTTCTAAGGGTTCTTAATGCATAATGGAACGACTGAATGAGGAATGATGCAGACGAGTAGAGCACTAACTAAGGATATTGGGTCATTTGACAGTCATATCTAGTCAAGTTAGCTTATTCTGTAGCGCAGAACTGGGTTGGATATAAGGTAAGTGATTAGAAAAAGATATGAGTCGTGTAGAATGGTGACGTCTTTGAGAAGGGTAGAAATCAGAAATTAGATTGGTTAGAATGGCGAAGATACATTCACAAGTTAAAAAGTGAGAAGGAAGAACATTGGGAGAGGTTCCCTGTTGATATATTCGGAATAGAGCATATCAAATTTGTATCTAAGCTACTGATTTACTAGTTTGAAAACATGGGAGTTTCGAAATGAAAAGTGCTTGTACAGCAATCTCTACGGATGTTTCTCAGAATTATTAGCGTAGGTGTATTTCGCTTTTGACTCAGGTTTTTATTTGCAATCAATCATGTCAAAAATATCATTTTCAGGCTTACGCTTATCAAAAAGAAATATACAAATTTGTACTATGTAGACCTATTTCCTGGATAGTTTCAACTCAGGAACAAGTTTGTTGTTTTTACTTGCGTCTTGTGACTTATGGGATCAAGTAGTTAGTACTAGTTACTGCTGTCGAAGTCACCTAACAACTTCATAACCACTGGTGTTTTGAAGTGCTACTGTAGTTTCCACAGTCACAACGATTTAATAGACACTTAGTTTGAAAGAGAAAGAGTACTGTTAGTAAAAGCATTTGGTACAGTGAAGTTTACGATTAATTTAAATAATTACATTAGTTATGATCACATGAAAATTTGTCTATTACATGATAAAGACAATCGCAAAACTATCACATGTAACTAATATCATTAGAAAGCAATAAAATAAGACTTACGAATACGTCATCTAGTGTGACGGATGGTTGAAGATTACGGATCTCTACGCGGAAACCTTGTATTGGACTAGTTTTAGGTCCTGATGAAGTAGACACTGGAACTTCATTAAACGGCAGTAAGTTAGCAAATAGCCCAGTAGTTGGTGTAGGGTTATTAAGAAAGTCAAGTGGATTAGGAAGAGGCAATGGCAAACTGAGCAGATCAGGAATACCTGGACGTAGAGATGTTGGACGTGGTTTACGCTGAAACATATAAAGGTTTTGATTAATAGAAATCTCATAATGACAAAATAAAATCGCCAGTCCTTTATCAGATTAAATGGTGTATTTTAATTTCACAAAAACATTTTACACTACTCCTAACATAATTCTTTGTTTCTAGTTTTATTAAACGCGAAATGAATTGACAGTAAAATATGTGCCTCAGTTATCTTAAATTGCATAATGTATAACATTAGTTTCTACATGAAAATATTAAATGCCTAGTATTCCTTAATCGACATAATAAATAGTGAAATTACAATACCAAATTGCATAAATTATTACGAAACTTAATATCGACTTACTGCATTTTGTAGATGGTTTATTCCATAAAGTTCGTTTTTAATCTACAGAAAAAAAAGTCAGCTCAAGTAAAACTACATGAAAAAGAAGTTAGGTTTATTAATAGTAACATGAAACGTAAAATAGACATTTGCAAAAAGCAAAATATAAATAAATTGTACCCATTGCAAGAAATATTCATTCGAAAAAGTGATTGTTCTCTTTAACCATATGTACGTGAACACATTAGCATTTGGTGTTACTAATATCAATGCATGTAGACAACCATGGACATGAACTTGATGGGAGAAGCCTCGAAATTCTGAACTATGGAAACTTCAAAAGGATGCCTCAAAACATGGTATACATATCAATTACCGATCGACAAACAGTGACCTAAACACAACTCATGAACTTATACAGAAGAGGTCAATCAATCATGAGAAAAAAATGTTAACCAACAAAGACTGTCACCATGAATGCGAAGATTACTGATTAAATGACTCTTTATCTTTGCTTAGTGCTCTACTAAATGATCATTAGTTCTACTATAGTCTAAATAATAAATGATAGCAAACCAGACTGCATGATGAACAAACTAGATTGTATGAATATTTGTGATGGAAATAAGATGGTGATTACGCTTTTGGACAAAGAGGTGACAATGTCAGAGTTGAGACAGTCGGGGTCGAAAAACGGCTTTTGATTTGAAAAAACGACGATCATCCTTCAGCATACGACAACTCCATAAGAATAATCGTGGTGTCCAAGACACTCGTAGGTGTTACTTCAGAGAAAGCTCCACAACCAAAACATCCAGCTCAGAGAACCAAACACCACCACCACAATCATCCACCTCAGATACAAATCTTCTCCACCACCTCGTTACTTGAAACCTCTTTGTCATCAAAAAACGAAAATAAGTGCACAAAAGCAAATCCTTTCTTCTTGCTTAGAAGAATCATGTCTATATAGAAACGAAACTTTTTTCCTTTCTTGTTCACAGCAAACTTAAAATACATATTTTCCACTGTTTCAATCAGTAAGAACAGATATTGTTATGTAATTGCACAAAATGTAGCCTTATTACTCCATTTTGTTAACTTTTCAGAGTTTTTTAGTAGAGTTTGTGAACGATGAAGAAGTATCTATAAATCAACTTATTATCAAGAAAATAATACAAAGGAACACCAGACTATAAAGAGATATGCATCTCGTATTGACGTAGAGCTTTTGTTCATTTCGACACTAAGACATTTCTGACTTTGTATACAGTATTCTTTTGCTCTAAACTTGAGTGCTATATACAGGAAACCAGAACCTGCCTAAAAAAGAAGTGAGCTGCTGAAGAGTTCAAAGAATCTGAACTAAGCTAATCCCCGGGATTACAAAACGGCCGTACAAAGAGAGTCTAATTAACTTACACCAATTTCCTTCATCATATAGAAGTACCAGAGGTGACTTAAACAGTTTTTAAATCACCTGTTTTTTCCATCGAAAACAAATAGCTTACGAAGACACCAAGAATGCTCACAAGCCTAGAACAAAATACTTTTCAACTGACTACCAACATCCTTATCGATACGTCAGCTCATGGAACTTAATATCTCAACACATAGTCGAAGCTTCATCTGTCAACGAATTCAGAAATCTGGATCAAATGAGGTCAAGATCGCAGGAACTAACATAGGTTACCCAACCTCCTGTCCTTTCAAAACTGAAAAAGAAAACTGATAGGGAACTCAAAATGATCTTCCTAAAACTATTGTATTCTTATGATTTTCGTAACCCTATTAGAAAAATGCTTTTGACGCACATTAACTTTCTTCCTATTAGCCGTTAATTCATGTCAAAAGGTCATTTTGTCACAGCTCATGACCCTACCTCTTAGTAATTGAACCTATATAAATATGAGACCGCTCCTTCATTCAGATGAACGTCGTCGCAGCAGAAAGTCTACAATTAGGTAGCACACGTGCTCTACAGACGTGGAGATACATAGGAAATATGGAGGAAACATTTCCAGTCTAAAAGTGTTAAATATGCTCAAGTAACGTAATTATGTTGCTTAATATTACGTACCGTTCTTACGGGAATGAAGAACGGAACTCGAGGGTTTCGGCGCGGATGAGGCGTATTCCTCGACCTCAAGACACTCCTAGCGTCACGAAATATTGATTTACGTTGACGGGTACGATTACGAAGCAATGTCCGCGCATCAGGTGTTCGTACAGTCAGGTTTAACTTGTTTCTGAGATCAGTTCGACCGTTGTTTGCTGATGTGTTGGTCTTTCCTAACCGTCTTCTAAGATTTCAAAGTAGAACATTATTCAAAATACTCACTTTACTGAGACCTGTCTCAGACGCCTCTCAAACGTAGCGTTCATCGTTCATATAAATACACAATGCTATACAAATTTAAAACAACGTACTTGCATGTGAATCTTGGTGTTATTTTATGAGGTCATCGAAATATGAATTTTCAGAGAAAATATTTCTCGCCTGGATAGATAATTACGAGCTCATCTCTCAAAATACCTAGAGCCGTACCGCAAGACCAAGAATCGAGTTCAAAGAAACAAAACAGTTTATACTAGCTCGTGATAAAGACTTTGGATGCTGGATGAAGCTGCAGTAAAAACAATGAGACTTACAGTCAAATTACTGGGCGTTATAGTAGGGGGAATTCAGTCTATATTTTCAAAGTTAAATCTAAGCCTGTGGTTTATCATTTTTCCAATCAACTTGCTGTATCTAGGGGATTTATATGAATAGTATTTAGTTGCTACGGTTATCTTGAAAAATTCCTTGCAGTTCGCATGTTTATACCGCAGCATGATGGCCCATAGTAGCCCGGCTGAATATCGCTAAATTCGTTTTTGTTATACAGATAAATGTATATTTTCATTTATTTTAGTGCTTTAAAAGAGTGTACAAATATTCCGTATTCCTCCTACAATTGGTAATTCCTTTAGGACGCTTTTTATATTCGATTGAGCTGGCAAGTCATCAAAATCTCCTTTGATCTCAAAGAACATCGTAGCAGTGACATTAAGTATGTCATGGATGTTCAGAACGTAACACTGCAGATGGAGGATATTCAAAACCAAATGTAATTAGGACTCAGGAGGTTTAGAGGTCTATTTAAATCATGGTTGGGATGAAGAAGGATTAGTTATCTAATCTTTTTGTTGTTGTTACCCATGATTATTTTCTAGATACTTTCCACTCTACGTACTGCTTTCTCGTACAATTTTATGATCTGGTCTGAAATCGCAGTCTGCGCAACTGTTGAAAACCTGACATAGAAAAACACTTATCAGCGATATGCGATATGCAATATGTGAAGCATGACATAGTAGGTTCTTTGAGAGTGCTTCACTGGTTTTTTAATGGTGACCGAGTTGATATTGACTATGATCACCACTAAATACTCAGTACTATCCCATCACCAAAATCAGAAATAAATCCAGGGTAGAGAACATATTTGAAGGAGAAAGTTAGCGTTACGACGAGCAGAAATTTATGAAGGATGGCAGCAGCGCGAAAAAGAACGTTCCGTTCAAGTAAGTGTTTTTAGTACGGTTAAACAAAACGAGTACAATAATAAATGTTTATTTTCCATCAGTCGCATTTCCTTCGTAGAAGTGTTGCACTTCAGTTGTATCTATGCTGCATATAAAGTTAGACAACAAAGTTAAAAATCAATATACAACTTGAAAGGATGTTGGAAATCTTCATAATCGATGAGAACAAAAGGAAGACATTGATTTTTAGGTAATTAACACAGACCAACATACAAACATTTAGTGTAATCACATTTTTGACAATTTACGAATAAACTTCTTATCTAGTTACAGTTTCTGAAATCAGAGAAAGTTGTTTATATATCTGTGTAAATTCTCAGACAGGAGCAAATTTCGAAGTAGATTCCAAGACCAGTATGAATTTCAGGTAGAAACACTGGGTTAAATACTGTTAGTTTAAGTACATTTTTATTAAATGTTTGCCTAGACATGTAAATCAAGTTCGATCCTACTGTTGACTTTAACTCTGACGAAAGTAATCTTGGACTAAGCTACCTGAACTGTTTTTGAGATAAACGAATCTTGATTATTAGCCACAGTACAACTGTTTATTCTGGAAGTCGGTATCTGACACTTGTGGCGCATCTTTTACCTAAAGTGGAAAAGGCTTGTCATCTGCATACAGTTGCCTTGACTTTACTTTTGCGAAAAAAAGCATAATGATTATATAGCAACATTCATTGATATGATTAATCGTACAGTTGGACGTTTTATCGAATATTCGTTTATTTGTACTTTTGTTTTACGCAATGACCTTTATTCTTTTTGTGCATATACTAACAATACACCACTGTAATGACTTTTCTCCCTTTTCCGGTCGCCATCTCATTTTTATCACCCCGTACTGTCTATTTACTAGCACTTTCTGTGTTTCTTCGAAACCACGAAACCGCCAATAAAATCACTCATTCCATCTGGTGTATCCCGTCTTCTTCCTTCCTATAAAAGAACTGTGATAACTTGTGAGACCCAAACTTATTATAAACATGTTCGTAGTCCCGCGAAATGATTATCTGTAGAGTCATAAAACTTATATGGGTCGGATATATTTAAGTCCCACATCAATTTTAGCCACCAAATTAACATAAAATTGAGTAACTGTTTATTATGTAGCAATGAAAAAAACATGCTTTTTCGCTATTGTTTTCCACTATGAAGTCGTTGAGTATAGAATATTGTGGTTGAGTTCGATAAAATCATAAAAATGCACCCCAGCCTTATGCGTTCGGTTTCGTATGTTTTGTACAGTATAGTACGATACAGTCTATGTTTAATATGCCCGTCAGTTATTTGGTGATAGCATCGAGCAACAAAAACTTGTGAATATAAGAACGGTTAGAAATTTGTTTCACAAAGAAATATACGGCCAGTGAGTGGCATACAACCCGATAAATATACATACACGAAAATAATATTGAACATTACTGAAATTGTCAGCAGGATATCTGCCCAAGTTGTGGTCTTGTAAGCCACACTTATAAGAGGTAGCCAACAGTGGCAAATACGATATATATATAATTTTTTATTGAGCAGTAACTGATATGACAGGCGATGGCAAAACTAAACGGTGGCAGTATATCAGAATTAAACAAAGATAAAAATTCTCAACAAATGATAGTGATTTTGCCGATACATAAAAGTTATGAAAATCCTGAATAACCATAAAATATTGTTTACTAAACAAGACCATTTTAACCATCTCTACAACTTGAAGTTTTATCCACTGGTAATTTATAAATAGCATTTTAGTGGTAGACAGTGGAGAACGGAGGACTTTTGTCCTGTCGGTGAACCAGAAACGTTTACAGAACCGTGTCTACTACTCTAGAATTAACGAAAAGATTTGGAACTGGAGGTATGAATCTTTGAGAGCATTTCAGTAGCTGTATTGGACCCCCTTCGGTTACTTATGTTTATCAGTGACTTTCTTGAAATCCATACATTGTCGTTCGTTAACAACACGGATCACTGATCACTGAATTTTTGTCGAGTTTCCAGAACTCCTATACGAATTCTAGAAAAATGTATTGTCAGCGAATCGGCGGACACAAAATAGTGGTTGAGTGTCCAACATGCAAATATTTTAAAAGACTATTTCGAACGTAAATAAAGTATCATTTCGGCTTCCTCTTTAGTCGTCGTGGAAGAACGAGGCAACAATGTTACCAATATGAAGTCTGACTATTAGCGAAAACTAAGCATGAAAAACCTACTCTACTCACAACTTCATGTGAAGGCATCTCTGCGTATTTGTTTCTGAGAACTTTTCGACACCGCATCAATCCAAATCTTAAGACAGAACTTCGCATTCTCTTTCCTTAGAACGCACACGAACATCTGAAAGCAAATACAGGAGCGCACTGCAGGGCAGGCCGTCGTATCAAGAGGAAAACATTACAAAGACCGATTTCGTTGTATTGGATACAAATCACCTGGTCACTTGAGAACAAGCAGTACACCGATGACGGTGAACAGCATGCTAAGCACTCCGAGTCACCCTACAAACGAAGCATCCTACTGAAAACTCAGTATTGTATTGCGTGGCAATCTACGACTATCTACTCAGCAAAGGGCAAGATCAAATATTATTAGTGGATTGCTCCAACTGAAGTGCTCTTTCTGCCAATAAGATTGGAACCCCCTATTATGGCGCGTTACGGAAACGTATTTGATAGCCATGTACGTCGCCATGGTTCTTCGTTTTTAGTTCAGGAAGACAGGCAACTGTAGAGAAATGATTTACACCTTTACTCTAATTTCGATGTCTTCCACTTACTTGATGGACAAAAATGTCTGTATTTAAATAATAGTTATATCTTTTAGAGGAAAACATGTGATAAGTTTTTTAGAATAACCAAAAATGTATGTGAATAGTAAAGCAGTTACCTACAAACCACCAATTGTACTATGCACAGTAGGACTGAAAGCGAATTTCAATAATGACGATGGATCACCAATCCTAAACTAAGCGACAGACTTCAAGATAATGTCGCATGAGAGACTAAGGTAACGTTGAGTAAATGTATGTGGATGCAAGCCAGATAACTGTTCACTGAAGAGTGAATGGAGAGAATGATATGTGGCAGTATGTGGCATTGTATTTAGTGGACAATAAGTATTGTAACAAGTACGTACAAGGAGATGCAACTCAACCTAGACATCAGTTAATAACCAGCAACCATGACTCTAAAAGTTAAATGAAATTATGGAAAATGAGAATAATGAAAAAAATCTTATTTAAAAACAAGTCTACATCGACCATCTGCGACAAAGTTTACTACAACTCATCAGTTTACGGATCATTAGATTTAAGACGGTTGGTTCGCGCAACCACACTGCTTGAAGTTCCAGGTATACTTACTCCAAATATAGATGTCAGACGTGAAAGGGTTATTGTAGCTGAAAGACCGAATTAGCCTATTACAGGATATTGGATAGTGAATACCGGAGTGATATGAAGCCTAATCATCAGCAGCTTCAAAGAGGAAACTAACCATTTCAGAAGAGTTTACTGCAAAGTTTGAGGACTACTTTTTATTGCTGTTGACTGATGTAGAATCGGAACTTTGTTTTCGTCCACTGAGGCGGTGGTTTCAAATTTTGGCGAAATGGCTTGTACGAAGTTAAACGTATATTATATACCAACATACACGGCGATCTCCGTCTTTATTTTGATAGGTAAATTTCATTTAAGATATTCCAAATAACGCGCAAGGTCTTTATTATATTCTGAGCGGTGAAGGCCATAGGTTCGATATAGGATGGTATGTAATTCTAGGTTTTATCATTCGATCCTCAGGGTTTTATCAGAAACATCACCCTACCTGTGGGCTGCAATGGGCATCGGTTTGGCTATTTCTCTTTCGGTCGTCGGAGCTGCTTGGTAAGCTAGTTTTCTTGAATATATATACTCGGTTGTTTTGCGAACACAAAATATGTGAGGATGCCAGAGTTAAAAGTGCTTGTCTTTCATTTAGCTTTCGCAGATGTTAATTATAAGTGCATTTTAAAACCGGTAATTTATAAAAATATGGCTGGTTATTTCTATGGAATTAACTAATTTGGCAATTTAGTTCCACCGTGAGGATGATACTTAAGTTACATTAGGTAAGTAGATAATATGATTGCAATCTGTGGTGCTATCGAGATTTCAATAAAGTCGTTTATTCACCGAGAACACCCTCATTTCGAATGCTTGTTAACAGAATATAAGCTTCCACTTGACGAGCCAATGTATAAAAGCAATGTCAGTGAGTGAGTTGCAACTTAGAACTTCGTACGTATGTACATAAGTTCATGTTGCCATACCACATTAGCACAGAGACGCAAATGTCAAATCAAATCTCATAGTGATAAAGATAGTACAGGTATTAATGGTAATGAAGAATACTAGGGTTTGAAGATATTATTCAAGAAGTATAATTCAGTGAGATAAGGTTATAAAGACAAAGGTAGAGGTGATGACGATTCCAGAAGATTAGGATTTGAGAGAGTACAACGAATGGATGCACTTGCGCCATTGCAAACGATTCTGAGCCATGTCGTTCAAGGTCTCTAAGCATTCGTGACTATCGTCTCGCGGACCCCAACCAGGTAGCCTACATCCACTGACATGACTCAGTCCACTTGTCAGTGACTTCATGGATTTGTGCCATGTTTTGGTCTGGCCGTCCCGGTCGCCGATGCATCCAGGTAGTAGTAGCTTATGTATATTGAAGAAGTATTAGTTAGTTGATATGATACACCGTTATGGGTCTAAGGGTACGTCAAATTTTCTTGGGTCACCTCAGTCGTATCAATTACTAACACTAAGCTCCTTTTCAGGGGTAGGATTTGAGTTTACTGTTCAGTTAACTATTTCGTACCTCTGATTCTTGAGTATAATTCTTAGGGTTTGTTTTAGAAGTGCTTAAGCGGCTATTTTAGGGGATGCCTAGAGGTGTTTATCATACTAAGTAATTGTAAGTTCGCCTAGATGTCACACACATCTCGGTGGGTAAAGTTCCAGTAATTTTTGGCGTCCTTCATAAGGCATAGATTTGGTTGACTGAGCCGATTCTTAGAACTCGTTTTTGAACACACTTTGGAGTACTCTCATCACTTTAAGTGAAGGAGGAAACACTTAACACAGCTATTAAAACTCAGTAGTAAGTCATGATGTTAAACTTGCAAAAACGTGCTTCATACTTTCTGGTGCCTAAACATCTTTCAAGTACTGATGTAGTTCACTTTTAAAACAATGCCTTATTTTTGCTTAACAGGTAGGATACAGTTATCACTTTTATTCTCGTCCAAAAAGTATGATTCACCATTCAATTCTTGAAGACTATTCTTTAATAAAATTTTCTAGTCTGACAACAGTGCTTCATCGATGTATTAGCATATTTCAGCTAAACGAATATCATATGAAGTGGTTAATACGCATGATTGGTTTATTGTGATAGATTTAGCTAATCGATTTATAATACAGTCAAGAGTTTACTTTTTTATCAGACAACTTTTAACAAATAGGTATTTAGGTGCTAAGCGTTTGCTTTAAATAAGTCAATTGGCCACAATTTAGTACATGTGCACCGACCTAATTTATCACACCATGTCAGAGCGAAAAAACCAAATTATTGAGATAGATATCAAAGTAAAACATCCTTATCATCAGCGATACTTAAAAGAGACCTTGCATTGACACTAATAAGTTTTGAAACTCAATACCTGAAGGCAGATAAAAATAAATGCCTCTGTGTTATAACAACTAATTATAAGCTCTTTCACTCAACGTCTACAACCACCACTCACGGTTATCATTTGAACTTCAACCTGTTAACTCCTACATGTCAACATGCCTCAGACTGACATCCAGTGGCTCTATAAACTGATACAGTTTCTGAGTCTGACTTCTCAGCTTTCTCCAAACCTTATCGTGCACTAGCAAATATCGTCCATCGAAACAGGCAATAGTTTGATTTCACTTATGTTAGTACCAATAGTCTTTACATTTAAAATGTAATTCGAAGCTTATTCCATAGGTGTATAGTTATTTAGATTGTATATTTAGTTGAACAGGATTATTTGATTCCTATAGTGTAAATATATCAGTACATTCTTCAAAGGAATAGATTATGTCATTGCTATCCTGTCGTTTCTCCGTTTTATATTTACTGTACGTTTTTGCTTTGATTTATTTCCCTTCCGTAATGTTATGACAAATTTACACAGTCAGTCAGTCAGTCAGATGCAACGTAAAACTTCGTACGTAAGTACACCAGTTCATGTTGCCATACCACCAGCACGGAGATATAATTGTCGATTGAAATCCAATAGTAGAAGAGGTAGTAAAGGTATTAGAAGTAATCGGAGAGGTTAGGATTAGAATATGTTATTCAAGAAGTATGATTCAGTGAGAAAAGTTTAGAAAGTCAAAAGTAGAGGGGTTGAAGAATCCGGAAGATTAGTCTTTGAGAGAACACAAAGAATAAATGCACCGGCGCCATTGCAAGCGGTTTTGAGCCATGTCATTCAGGGTATCTAACCATCGATAATTATCATCCCCAATCAGGTAGTCGATAAGTACCGACATGGCTAAGTCCACTCGTCAATGACTTCATGGATTTCTGCCATGTTTTGGTCTGGTCGCCCCTAACTTTCTTCCAACCTATCCCTACACTACGAAACAAAGCTCGTCGAGGCAGTCGGTGGTTAGGCATACGCAGCACATGTCCCAACCACCCCAACTGATGAAGTTTCATTACTTCATCTATTGATATGCCATTCATACTTAGCACCCGTTTCCTAATAACAGCGTCGCTCACTCGGGTGTCCTAAGATATACGAGCAATGCTTCGAAGACACCTATGATCGAAAACCAGTAACCTACGAATATCTTCTGCTTTCACTAGCCATGTTTCACAGCCATGAAATAAGACGGAGTGGACTACTGCACAGTACACTCGTCCTTTAGTCAGCAAACGGATATCTCGTCTACGCCATAAGTGACGCAGGTTGGCAAAAAACAATCGAGCCTTCTATATCCGAGCTGAGATTTCGTCAGTCACCAGGCCATTAGCACTGATGAGACTCCGAAGATAAGTGAAGCGGTCTACACGCTCGACTACTTCACTCCCTATCACTAGTTCAGGTGCCGATACAACCCAATCTCGAAGCAACATTTTGCATTTCGAGTGGGAAAACCGCATCCCGAACATGCTTGCATTGTTGCTTATGGTAGTCAGAAGACTCTGCACTTTGTCAGCGTTTTCATCAAGTAGGACTATGTTATAAATTTACACAGTAAAATATTGCGTTGTTCTAATCAGTCAACGGTATGCTAAGAATAAGCATTCCTAGTAAATGTTTGTCTGTCTCACGTAGATTAAAACAATTTATACCTGGGATACATCCTTGGGAAGCATGTATCATATATTAACGTTGCTCTGCTTCCTTTGTATATTAGACTTTTGGTTCAAGCCACCTGGTTTGAGACAGTATCCTAGCCCACTCGCAAATTCAATAATCTTTATGGTGCATAAATGTTTGAGTGCCTTATTTGTAACAACATTTGTGTTTAAATAAATAAAGTGTTAAAGAGTTTATAAATAGAAATAATCTTAAACTAGATTACATATATGTGCTTAGAATTTATCTTTTCATAGGGGCATCTACATAACAGGCTCTAGTATTCTAGGAGCAGCTGTCAAAGCACCTCGTATTCGTACGAAAAATTTGGTTAGTATTATTTTCTGTGAAGCTGTTGCTATTTATGGAATTATTACAGCTATTATTATGTTGAGTCAAGTTGGGGTGAGTTGAATAGTCTTTTAATGATTCTACTTCATACTGTTATCATTTTTGATTCATGTTTATGTGACTATTAAAATGTGAACTAGTTTTCTTGTTTGCTAAAGGTCGCAAAGAAATATGGTGGACACATTGCCAATCTAAATAGGTTGATGTTTCGCAAATCGTAGCATTATAAAATGAAAAAAAATAGTGACTTCAACAAACCTGGTAAAAATATCTGTGCATCACGTATGTATAAGTACCCTGAGTTAAAATTGTACATACTCTATGCTCACACTGGTCTGCCACAATGAGAATCCTATATATGTCGTGTAAAGAGAACGTACATTATTTCACTACAAAATCAATATATGCCCAACAAAAATTAATCGTATCATATGTTGTAAGGGTGAATTTCTTTACAAACTAAATGCTTGTATTCATTTGATATGTATCTCAAAAAATTGCAGGTATTCACCATAAAACTTTGTTAAGCAAAAGAATTAACTGATGAATTTCTGAACATATGATTAAAATTGTTTGTCATTGACTGTGAAACATGTTTTTTTTGGGTGCGATTTGTCTAAACATTCGAGGAAACTTTGTTGACCATATTGATGTAAATTATTTGTTAAGTATAGATTCATGTAATTGGTTTGAAGCCAAATTGATTGTATAACGGTTTCTAATAAATGCTTCCCAGTTTCCTACATTAAATTAGGTAGGGTAGGGTTGAAACACAATACTTATAGGTTATAAGTCGATCATCTTAGCCACCAAACCTATGTTGTTCTTAGATTACATAGCCAAAAAGGTGAATTATTTTTCTATGTTATGTTTGAATAGTTCCTATCATATTCTACTTATTTCACATATCTATGAAATGTGCTACGATTTTTATCGCTAACTAATTCGGTTTTCAGTATCGTATAATGAAATACATATATTTATTTGCTATTATTCAGTTGGATATACAATGTATAATATATAAGCTGAGTATTTCTGTTTAAATCATATCAGTTTTAACTGGATTAGAAGAATAATAGTAATGAAAAGGAAATATAAATAATAGAAGGAGCAAACAAAGCATGTTTTTATTAATGGTGGAAGGTGGTGGTATTTGTGCCAAATAGTGTGAATCTAAGTAACACGTCGTCCTTCAGCGGTTTCACCCATTTTTGATAAAAAAAATATAAGTAAACGTGTGTATGGCATCGTCGTATCACCTATTTTTGTTGTGTATGGCATGTAAATATTTAGTGAAACTAGGCTTAGTCAGTTAGTCATACTGTTGTCTACTGTTGCCGATAACTTTTCCGACTTATCAAGGAAACTGGTATTAGGAATCCTAGTGTAAGTGAGACTATCTCGGAAAATGATGGGACTATTATTTATTCTCAATCCAGGAGACTGGATCGGTTGGCAGAACACTTTAGGGATCAGTTCAACTGGCCTCGAGCCACTCTTCGGTTACCCACGATCTCCAGTCATCCTGAATGGCAAATCAACGTAAGTCCCCCTAGTCTTAATAAAGTTGAGAAAGCGTAAGGAAATCTGAAGCGAGGGCGAGCTGCAGGTCCTGATAGGCTTACCCCTGAGATATTTAAGGATGATGGTCCAGTTTTAACAGTTAGACTGGTCGAGATCTTAGGTAGAATCTGGGAACTAGACGTAATCCCATCCGACTGGTCTCAATCACTGGTTGTCCCAATCTATAAGAAAGGACAAAAGTCCTCTTGTGACAATCACAGGGGAATAAGTCTAACTAATATAGTTTCTAAATTGTTAGCCTCGATTATACTTAGACGCCTAACTAGTGCTCGTGAAGAGCGGACTCGAGAAAACTAGTCTGGTCCCAGGCCTGGACGTGGCTGTGCAGACCACATTTCCACACTACGACAGGTCCTGGAACACAGACACACATTTAGGCCTCCTACAATAGTTGTCTTCCTGGACCTTAAGGCGGCATTTACTCAGTGGATCGTGAGGTTCTGTGGCAGTGTCTTCCAATGAAAGGTATACCAAAGAAGAACACTAACCTTATAAAAGCTCTCTACTCGAACACCACTGGTCGGGTGAGAGCTTATGGCGAACTGTCACAGGAATTCTTCACTTCAAGTGTTGTCCGTCAGGGATGTCCACTCTCTCCATTCTTGTTTAATTTTATCATAGACATGCTCTTAGAAATAACCTTATCCTCGTCTGAACTTTCAGGAGTAGACCTTTTACCAGGAGGCTCACTTATCGACTTAGAATATGCCGATGACATAGTCCTACTTGGTGAAGACGCTGACAAAATTCAGTCTTTTGACCAGCCTAAGCAACAATGCAAGCATGTTCGGGATGCGGTTCTCACCCTCGAAATGCAAAATGTTGCTTCAAGATTGGGTTGCATCGGCACCTGAACTAGTGATAGGGAGTGAAGTAGTCGAGCGTTTTGACCGCTTCACTTATCTTGGAAGTCTCATCAGTGCTGATGGCCTGGTGACTGACGAAATCTCAGCTCGGATACAGAAAGCTTGATTGGCTTTTGCCAACCTGCGTCACTTATGGCGTAGGCGAGATATCCGTTTGCTGACTAAAGGACGAGTGTACTGTGCAGTGGTTCGCTCCGTCTTACTTTATGGCTGTGAAACATGGCCAGTAAGAGTAGAAGATATCCAACTGACTGACTGAGTTAGTCATACTACGCAACATAAAAAAGGAAACATATGTGTCTGTTCAATGTACCATACCAGATTAATACAGCAAAACAAGACCATTAAAACCAATCCATGAGTAATAGAAATAGTAACAGTGTCAGTAGTAATAAGAAGGACTAGGTATAGAAAAATAAGTTGTATGGAGATTTCTGGATTCAGGTCCTGAAGAAGGATTGAGGGTAAATGCACCTGTACCACCTGTACCAGTGATTTTGATTCCTTTTAATCAGTCTCTAACCATTTGTTACTATAATAAACCGGACCCCCAATTGCGTAGTCTTTATTCGTTATCATGGTTCAGTCCAATAGTCAACAACTTCATGAACTGATGTTGTGTCCTGCCTGGTCTAGCCTTCCTTAACCTTCCAACCTAATTATGCATCGGATAACATCACCCGTCACATGTAACACATGTCCCAATCACCTCAATTGATATAGATTGATTATATTATCAGTTCAGAGATTTGAGTGTGAAATTGTCTGTCAATTCAATTATAAATCTACCGACGTTTGAGTAGGAGTTCATGCAAGAGGGTATGATTTGTAACCTAATGCATAGATGCATAAGACTTGTTTGCTACAATTTGCGTTAGTTTATTCCGTCTGAAGTGAAGTCTAGAGTATTTGAAACAAAGTGATTAAAAATTCATGTTATATATATATATATATATATATATATATATATATATATATATATATATATATAATACTTAGATGGATCACTTAAATTACTTTTTATTTGAACACTATAACTCAATGATTATATGCAAATATGTCAATACACTTGTAACATAATGACATAATCTATTTCAGGCGTTAAATTTTCAAAGATTAAGTGTCTATGATAAAACTAAACCTTACTATCTGACTGACCAAATTTAAGGTAAAAAACTGTTGGATTTCTGTACAAAATTTTACAACTCAGTTATTGGATAACTTAAATCGTTAAAATTTAAGTGAAATACTAAACATCAAACAACCAAAGAATGGGAATTATGATTAATGAACTTTCGAAGGTAACTTAAATTGTTCAAATTAAAAATCCAAAGGTTATTCTCATTGGTTTCGTAACAGTTTCTTTTAATTCCGTAGCCCAGCCTTTTTTTGAGCTTGATGTCATAAATTATCGATTTTTGAAACCATGGATCGATCAATGTCAGACCACCATTAGAAACCTGGAAGCACTGGACGGCCGTCTCGTCCTGGTATGAGACTCCTCAGCAGTGCGCATCCACGACTCCTGCACCCCACAGTATTCGAATCCAGGACCTTCGGTACTGTGCGCGAACGCCCTAACCGTTAGACCACTGAGCCAGTATCATGGTTTCAGAAATGTGTAACTTAACAATCTTCACAACCCCGCAATGCAAATTACCTGTGTTCAATAGTGACTAGCTTTATGAGGAATCTTCTCCGAGTTCTAGTGGGAAGACGTGACCAGTGAAGTTCAACCTGTTCGGGTGTAGACAGTAACTACCGAAGACTGTGAATGAGGTTGCGCAACTCCGTGAATATGATCAAGTTAGACATTAACACCGTTAGATACCGGCTCAGTGGTCTAACGGCTAGGGAGTTCGCGCACAATACCGAAGGTCCTGGGTTCGAATTCTGTGGGGTGCAGGAGTCGTGGATACGCACTGCCGAGGAGTCCCATACCAGGACGAAACGGCCGTCCAGTGCTCCCAGGTTTCTAACATTGATCGATTCATGGTTTCAAAAAAATGTGTAACTTAACATTCTTCACAACCCCGTAATAAATTATGGAGTTATATCGCCTACATCCTGGTTGGTCCAGTATTAATTTCACGTATTTTAAAAGTTATTTCAAAGTTTCAGAAAATCATTAGTCTATAACTTTTCAATCCAACTTTTCATCTATTTATTTATAGTCTTACAATCCTGCAGGAGCAAGTGAAAGTGTGATACGTCAAGCGCATCGAGCTGGTTATGCAATGTTTGCAGCTGGATTAACTGTTGGTTTTTGTAATCTTATTTGTGGTGTATGTGTTGGTATGGTTGGTTCAGGTGCAGCATTAGCCGATGCTGCAAATTCTGCATTATTTGTTAAAATACTTGTAGTGGAGATTTTCGGTAGTGCAATTGGCTTATTCGGAATAATTGTAGCTATTCTTCAGGTAATAAAAATATTATTTATAGATAGTATTACTGAGATTGTAATTGAAAATTATCTGATTTGTAAATAGTTCACATATGTCGTTATTGTAAATTTGTGTAACTATCTTGCTTTTTTTAAAAATTCCTTTGAAATTATTGAGTGTGTTTGCCTTTTAAGCATGGATTCTCAGGTTTGAGACCCATTCCATATGTTTGGATTGTCGGAAGTGTAGATAGTTTTCTTAATTTTCACATCGTCAGTTGGTACAGATTCTCATACTTGGCTTCAAGACACGTTCTAAGTTTGAGGTCAAAGTAAATAGAATATAATCTTCGGATCTGCGATTTTATTGTCTGGAATTTAAAGGTCTTAATCACTGAACAACCGACCCAATTAAGGTTGAATAAATGAACTCATATTTAGTTTATAAGCCACATGTAGTTAGTATATCCACGTATTGCTATTTCTACAAACTTTCGTATTGCGAGCTTTAATTCGCGTTATTTTTAGTGTAAGGATTTTCCAGAGGTTGTTGTGTTTAACAGTTTACGTCACAAGCTGTTTTTAGTTAGTTACTCATTGAAAACCAGTGAGCACTAGGTGGTTCTCTTGTTTTAATATGAAACTCTTCAACAGTCTACATCCATTGCCATACCAAGAGTTGAATCTGGAATCTTTATGTCTGACCCGACCGTAGCTGCTACCTTGACGTGGTGGTCGGGCTTGCCAATCGTGATGACCCAACCGAGCTATACTGGCTGGAACATATGTTCCTGCAGGTTTTACCATGCCAGGCAGGTCGATTGGAGAACGATGAGACTAAAAGCAGCTACCCAAGGTCTGAGGGCGAAGTCGTACTGCTGACTGCAGAGGGGTGTGACAGCAGTAAGGTGTTTCCCTCGGACAACCAGCATCTGCAGCGATGCTGCCTTCTCACAAGGAAGGAAGGGTTAGAAAAGGTCGGCCCTAAAAATGTCACACCTCCCCTAACTCACGGATTTCCGTCTCCCTGGGTAAGGGTGCCCACTAAGGGCCTTTAAGAACGGAGCTAATCCTCAAAAAACATTTCATAAAAAGGCCGTGCGTGACCAGCCTCAAGCAGTTGTCCCTTGGACTCTGCGGTCACGCACCAACACTAATCTATCTTCCTTTTCAGGTTCCTCAAGAAACAACCTTCCACGGTGTGGGCAGCCGGGAAGTGACAACCGCCCTCATACCCATAATAGCACGCGAGACCAAATTGGTCAAAATCAAATCCTTCCTACACCCCCTAGTACCTCTCTTATCTCCACAACTAACTCTTCTCACATTCATTCATCACAGTGCACAGCTAATGCAGACGATACGAGTTCGCGAAACGTCGTTCCTGGTCTCCTTAAACCTCGTTCTAGTCTACATGTTGGAGCATTTAATGTACGGACATTGTGTCACATAGGGCAACAGGCTTCATTAGCTAGGACTTTAGAATCTCGTGCCATCGATGTATGCTGCGTCTCGGAAACGCGCATACAGGATCCGAGTCGCGTCATACACTTGGCCACACCATGTCAAAATAAAGAAGCAGCTCGATTTACTCTTCATGTATCCGGTAGCCCTGATGCTGCTTCCAGGGGTCTTGCTGGCGTAGGCATAGCATTGAGTCGTAGGGCAGAACAATCTCTCCTTGACTGGATCCCAATAGATAGTCGATTGTGCGCTGTCCGACTAAACGGGACAGTAAGGACTCGGAAAGATAGGGACAATCGCCGTTGCCTCTTCATCGTATCTGCCTATGCCCCCACTGAATGCAGTTCAGACGAGGTTAAAGATGAGTTTTACAGAAAGCTTTCGGACCTCCTCCAAAAAGCTAGGCGCTCTGATATAGTAATAATGGCTGGTGACTTTAATGCTCAAGTAGGTAGACTAAGTGAGCAGGAGAGACACCTAGGTGGATGTTATGGTGTCGCCGCTCAAAGAACAGACAATGGTGACCGTCTGTTGCAAGCATGCTCAGACAACCGCCTATTCTTAGCAAACACTAACTTTAGGCATAAGGAAAAGCATCTGTTGACCTGGCGACCTCCAAAGTCGTCTCAACGTTGGACTCAACTAGATCACATCGCCATCAGCCACCGATGGAGGGGTTCGATAGAAGACTGTCGCTCGTTCTGGGGCACATGCCTAGATTCAGATCATGCCCTAGTGCGAGCGCGTATTTGTTTGAAGCTTACTGGGCGTAGGAAAGACACCGTAAGAAAGCCTCTTAGGGTTTTACTTAATGATAATAAGGCGAAAAATATATTTCAGGAACAACTAGAAAGACAGTTAGGCGACCATTTAAGCGATTCCCATCCGGAAGCAGGATGGAATGATATCAAAAAGGCTGTGGAAACAGCAGTGATATCTGCTAGTAAGGTTGACCATAAGGCTAGAATGAAACCGTGGATCTCAGTAGCATCCACCGATCTGATGGATGCCCGAAAACTCATCCCACCTGGCTCTGAACATGATGAAGAACGAAGTCAACTTAGGCGCAGACTTATGAAAAGCCTACGTAACGATCGCGAACAGTGGTGGGTTGCGAAAGCAAAAGCGATGGAAAAGGCATCGGCGATCGGCAACAGTAGACAACTTTTCCGACTTATCAGGGAAACTGGTATTAGGAATCCTAGTGTAAGTGAGACTATCTCAGAATATGACGGGACTATTATTTATTCTCAATCCAGGAGACTGGGTCGATGGGCAGAACACTTTAGGGATCAGTTCAACTGGCCTCGAGCCACTCTTCGGTTACCCACGATCTCCAGTCATCCTGAAAGGCAAATCGACGTAAGTCCCCCTACTCTTAAGGAAGTTGAAAAAGCGTTAGGAAATCTGAAGCGAGGGCGAGCTGCGGGTCCTGATAGACTGACCCCTGAGATATTTAAGAATGGTGGTTCAGTTTTAGCAGCTAGGTTTACTGAGATCTTAGATAGAATCTGGGAACTGGACGTAATCCCATCCGACTGGTCTCAATCATTGATTGTCTCAATCTATAAGAAAGGACAAAAGTCTTCTTGTGACAATCACAGGGGAATAAGTCTAACTAATGTAGTATCTAAAATATTGGCCTCAGTAATACTTCGACGCTTAACGAAAGCTCGTGAAGAGCAAACTGGAGAAAACCAATCTGGTTTTCGACCTGGACGTGGCTGTATAGACCACATTTTCACACTACGACAGGTCCTGGAACACAGGCACACATTTAGGCGTCTTACAATAGTTGTTTTCCTAGACCTTAAGGCGACATTTGACTCAGTTGATCGTGAGGTTCTGTGGCAGTGTCTGTCATTGAAAGGTGTACCAAATAAGTACATTAACCTCATACAAACTCTCTACTCGAACACTACAGGTCGAGTGAGAGCTTATGGCGAACTGTCACCGGAATTCTCTACTTCAAGTGGTGTCCGTCAGGGATGTCCACTTTCTCCATTTTTGTTTAATTTTATCATAGACATGCTCCTAGAAATAACCTTATCCTCGTCTGAATTTTCTGGAGTAGACCTTCTACCAGGAAAATCGCTTATTGACTTAGAATATGCCGATGACATAGTCCTACTTGGTGAAGACGCTGACAAAATGCAGAGTCTTCTGACTACCCTAAGCAACAATGCAAGCATGTTCGGGATGCGGTTTTCCCCCTCGAAATGCAAAATGTTGCTTCAAGATTGGGTTTCATCGGCACCTGAACTAGTGATAGGGAGTGAAGTGGTCGAACGTGTAGACCGCTTCACTTATCTTGGGAGTCTCATCAGTGCTGATGGCCTGGTGACTGATGAAATCTCAGCACGGATACAGAAGGCTCGATTGGCTTTTACCAACCTACGTCAATTATGGCGTAGACGAGATATCCGTTTGCTGACTAAAGGACGAGTGTACTGCGCAGTGGTTCGCTCTGTCTTACTTTATGGTTGTGAAACATGGCCAATGAGAGTGGAAGATACTCGTCGGTTATTGGTTTTCGATCATAGGTGTCTTCGAAGCATTGCTCGTATATCGTGGGACACCCGAGTGAGCAACGCTGTTATTAGGAAACGGGTACTAGGTAAGAATGGCATATCAATAGATGAAGTAATGAAACTTCATCAGTTGAGGTGGTTGGGACACGTGTTGCGTATGCCTAACTACCGACTGCCTCGTCGAGCTTTGTTTTGTGGTGTAGGAATAGGTTGGAAGAAAGCTAGGGGCGGCCAAACCAAAACATGGCAGAAATCCATGAAGTCATTGACGAGTGGACTTAGCCATGTAGGTAATTGTCGACTACCTGGTTGGGGTCCGCGAGATGATAATAATCGATGGCTAGAGACCTTGAATGACATGGCTCAAAATCGTTCGCAATGGCGCCAGTGCATTTATTCTTTGTGTTCTCTCAAATCCTAATCTTCTGGATTCTTCAACACCTCTAGTTTTTACTTTCTAAACTTATCTCATTGAATCATACTTCGTGAATAATATCTTCTAATTCTAACCTTTCCGATTACTTCTAATACCTTTACTACCTCTTCTACTATTGGATTTGAATTGACAATTATATCTCTGTGCTGATGTGGTATGGCGACATGAACTGATGTACTTACGTACGAAGTTCTACGTTGCAACTGACTGACTGACTTTATTTCTGAAATCAAATGTGAGATGACGAATGAGTTGTTTAATGTTTACGAAACCTCAAGGCCGCTGGGTTCGATTCTCGGTAGTATTGTGTGATTTGGTGTGTGCATATATATTTTGTTTTTTCTAGAAATCAAACAAACTCTGGTAGTAGGATAATTTTGGAAATAGGAAGACCGAGAAGATTCATAAGATTAGAATTCGAGAGAACACAAAGAGTGGATCCACCTGCGTCATTATTGCTGTCATACCCCTCTGCAGTTAGCAGTACGACTTCGCCTTCAGATCTTGAGTAGCTGCTTTTAGTCTCATCATTCTCCGATAGTTCTGCTTGGCATGGCAGAACTTACAGGAACATATGTTCCAGCCAGTATAGCTCGGTTAGGTCATCACGATAGGCAAGCCCGACCACCACCACATCACTGTAGAAGCTACGGTCGGGTTATATAACTTAATGTTATGTGGTTTTTTTACTGTTTAGTATTCCTTGATCATAATACATCACTCGACTCTGCTTAAATTAAAAAAAAGACTGTAGAGAGAGGGAAACACATATATCATATACATTCCAATAACCTGACATACAAATATATACATTGATAGATATTGGAGTTTGTATAAAGAGTTAACTTTGGAATCTTCGACTCGTCAACTAGCAGTCAGTGACTGACTAACTAACAATCAAGCAATCAGCGAGTTTTTTCTAATTTTAGTGTGATTTTTTTTCCCAGTCATTTACCACGTTATCATTCATTTATTCACATCAACAATTATGTACATAATATCATTGTGAAATTTGTATTCTCAATTTCGCTTTATCTTTTTTTGTAGATTTCTGGCAAGAAAATATCTGATAAAGGTTAAAATTATTGCATAAAATGGGCGACGAAATAAATATCCTGTTGAGTTTTCATTTTTAAAAACCTGGATACCACTACTTATGTAACCTTAGTTTTTCTCATATGCTACTGTTTCTTTTAGAATTCAATTGTTACTTACGTATTGACTGTGTTGGTTAGCTGTCGGCTTTCTCTTTCTCTCTCTCTGTCTCTCACTCGTTTCTCTGTTTCATTTGTTCTTATGATTGATTGATTGATTAGTAGTTGAGAAAAGAAACAATTGATTCACTTATATATGTAACTGAAGAAATGATGTTTGTTATAATTCTGGTCACAGTGTTAAATTTGTATCGTAATTATTTCTCGAACCTTTCAGAAGCCCAAGGTCATATGTAGCGCTCTATATATATATACATATATATACATAATTCAATAATGCATAATATTTAATATCACCACTATTCTTATAATTAAAAATTAACAATTAACTAACTAGACATGATAATTATGTTTTCAACTTCAATACTACTATAATACTTTGTTATTCTTATATTCACATTCCTGTCCAAGTTGTTTTGCTGATTTCATTGTGCGTCTCTGTGTGTGTGTGTGTGTATGTGTGTATGTATTGATTGATCAAGTAAATTTTTATTCTTTAGTAATTATGTTCTATTTTACATTGTTGCATAAATTAATACTCACTAACCGTTTGGGATTGTTGATAAACTAGTCAGTCAATCAGTTAGTCAGTTGTGACGTGCATGAGTACATAAGTTCAGGTTGCCATATAGCATCAACACAGAGACGCAACTGTCACTTCAAATCACATAGTGGTAGATATAGTAGAAGTATTACTGGTAATGCAGGAGATTAGGGTTCGAATATGTTGTTCAAGAAGTATAATTCAGTGAGATTACTTAAGAAAGAAAAAGATAGAGATGATGAGGAATCCAGGAGATTAGAATTTGAGAAAACACAATGAATGAATGCGCCATTGCAGTTAATAAACTATAAACTGTAGCAGAAAGTGTATGTTATATATAGTATTCAGTTGGTCGATGATATGCATGTCATACCACCACAGTACAGCGAAATGAAATCACCATGATAAATATCATAGTTTTAATTTATAGTATCAGTAGTAATAAATAAAAACATTAGACATTGGGAATATACTTCGTAATCAAAGAATGAATTTGTGGAATGAACTTTATAAGTTAGTTTTGACAACCTCACGAGTCTCAACATGGCGGTATCCACCTGCTTACACAGCACAGTCTGACAGTTAGTTACTTCATAGACAGTGCAGTTTTTGGTTTTGGAAGCGCCTAGCTTTCTTCTAACGTAATTTTACATCAAACATCGCATATCTTGGTAGTCAGCGAACAGGCATACGTAATACATTTCCTAAACAGCAGTTGGCGAATCAACCGACTTACCTTCTTCAAATTGTGGTACCTTGCATCTAACCTCCAGTCCATGGGAGGCATCGATGATTACTTACTAGTGACTTGACGAATCTATTTTCCGTCTTTAAAGTTCATGTTTCATGGCACAAGCAGTTCTATTGATTATAAATTGATTTTTCGAAGTATATTAAATTTGAATTGTTATGAGTGGTGATAATAACAGTAGGAATGAACGCAGAAATATTAACTAGAAACTGTATTTTAAGAAAACATTGTCATTAAATATGCATGTTGGTTGAGGAGCTTTAACAGATACATTTGTACATTTTGCTATGAACTCAATCACCTGTAAGAGTTTGATGAATTCAGGTTCTCAATTAATATAAGAGACAAATATTTAGCTACTGGATTTGATTCACTATGTAAATGTTAGGATATTCATCTAAGATCCTTAGAGAATTATTTGTAAGTCTAGTTTTATTCGTCAATTCCTATTGGTCCTCCTAACCATCGATGTCCCATACTTCAATGTTGTTTCCTATTCGACCTAACTGTATAAATATACATTATCTGTAACGTTTTATGACCCGGATTCTCTTCTGGACTCGGATCTCATACTTTGTGGATGTTTGTAGAATACATGTTCTACTTCATATGAAATCTTATTCTTTTACTCCATGGGAGTTCGGGACGCACGGATTAGAGTCGCCTGTCGTATCGCCGGAACATCGATCCTCGCTCTCGTTTACTTACTAAGGTAAACTCGTCAGAGTTCAAGTGTATCAACTGACGATATGGACCGGTTTATATCACTGCTCATAGGATACTGACTCAAATGTTCTAAGTAGAATACACTACTAGTTTTTGAATAACGTAGAACCCGGGGAAGATATACGCACGTCTTACCAAGTTGTGACAACAACAAGAATCATAATTAAAACGGTATTATATTTATTCAATGTATCATTCATTACAATACTAACCATTGATTAATTTTATCATGTAAAAATATAGAAAACAAAAAACGGACCATTCATCATTCCATTTTGCACATACATTTCACTTTCAAATTGGAACAATATATTTATTTCTAAATTAAAAAACGTTCATCGACAAGTGTTTTTCTAGCTGTATTACGACGTCCAAGATCATCACGTATTAAACTGAATAACTGAAATAAAAATAGAAGAGAAAAGAAATAATTGTGTTATATTTTCAGTTAGAGTTTTGGAGATTTGAAACCATCAATCAATCATTGTTAGACCACCATTAGAAACCTGGAAACACTGGACGGCCGTTTCGTCTCGTTATGTATGCATCCACGACTTTTGCACCTCGCAGAATTCGAATCCAGGACCTTTGGTATTGTGCGCGAACGCCTAACCATCGGACCACTGGGCTAACAATGACTGATTGATGATTTCAAATGTGTAAAAAAAAACAAATCTCCAAAGCGCTAACTGAAAATATCATAACAGTGCTCACTAGTGACTAGCTTCGTGAGGAAATTATCGGAGTTCTTGTGAGAAGACGTGACCAATGGAGTTCACCCCTGTCAGGTGTAGGCAGTAACTACCAAAGACGAATTGGTGAGGTCGCGCAAAATCCCTGGATCAATCTGAGTTAGACATGAACACCGTTGGATGCCGGCTCAGTGGTCCGACGGTTAGGCGTTCGCGCACAATGCCGAAGGTCCCGGGTTCGAACCCCGCGAGGTTTGGGAGTCGTGGATGTACACTGCCACTGGTATGTCCCATACCAGGACGAAACGGCCTTCCAGTGCTTCCAGGTTTCTAATAGTGGTCTAACAATGATTGATTGATTACAAATGTGTAAAAAAATTGTGTTATAGATTGAAATACGACAAAGTGCCAAACAGTTAACAACGGAGTATCAGCTTTTATTTTCTAAATGAAATCCAGTCTTGAATATGCTAAGCATTTGCAACACTGACTTTTCTAAACGCCTACAATCTATTCGACGATTGATCTGGAAAGAAAATCATGAGTAACAAATGTGGTGGGTTTCGTAACCAGGATTATTTAGACCACAATAGTAAAGGAATGTGAATTAGCTTACTGATGACTTTGGAGTTCTACAGTCCCTGTGGGAAGATACTACTACTATAAGTAATAAATAGTAGTAGTTAGAGAACTTGGCAATTGAGATTTGGGAACAAAATAAATGAAAGAATGAATCGGTCATACGATTCTTCTAGGAATTATCCGAGTACGTAATGTGGACATGGTTTTGCTTTTAAAGATTGCTACCATGGACATTGACCCAGTTCGCTTAACATAATAAATTTTTAAAACTACCTTGTCCAAATTCCGTATTCCTTAGGATTCCATTACATCATTTCGATCGCTTGGAGAGCAGTAAAATAAAGTGGAATTCGTCGTGTTCGAGGACGAATTTATGATGATCATTGTATTAGTGAGAAGGGAATGATGATGGCATTTCTAGTAAAACTGTGTTTACAACGCAAGACTTGGTTGGATAATTAATGCTAAACAGATAAACCTTCCAAGGTGCTGAGCTAATAAGTTGAAGGTTGTTCATAGAAAAGTCCCAAAATATCTCCGCTACCTAATTGCTGTCTCGTTATAACTTCAATGTAATTACCTAAAAAAGACATTTTCTAGAAGAAGCAAACGCTTTTGTAAGGTTCAAGGGCGCCGTTACCGACCTATGGGATTAGAATATATGGCGAATTGTCTAAAGTCATATTTGAAATCATGAATCAATCAATGTTAGACCACCATTAGAAACCTGGAAGCACTGGATGGCTGTTTCGTCCTGGTATGGGACTCATTAGCATTGCGCATCCACAACTCTTGCACCTCGCAGGATTCGAATTCAGGGCCTTCGGTCTTGCGCTCGAACGCTTAAACTCTGGAACCTTTGAGCCGGTACCTAAAGGTGTTAATGCGCACATGACCGAAGGTCCTGGGTTCGAGTCCTGCGGGGCGTAAGATTCGTGGATACGCACTGCTGATGAGTCCCATACCAGGACTTGACGGCCATCCAGTGCTTCCAGGTTTCTAATGGCAGTCTAACATTGATCATTTGATGATTTCAAATGTGTAACTTAACAATCTTCACAACCCCGTAATACAGTCATATATGTACACTACTGTAATGGCAATTCAGTAGTCTAAAAGATGAACTTGCGTCGTTGACCCAATAGCTAAGGTTTATCTGTAACATCAAAAAAATCCGCGGGGTAAAAAGTCGGGTCTGGTTTTTTTTTCAAGGCTAATCTTTTCTAACCAAATCTTGCGTTGTAAACACACAGTTTCACTAGAAATGCTACCATCATCCCCTTCTCACCAGTGAAATCATCACTCACCAATTCAGACTCTGATAGCATGGTAGATGAATATTGCTGAGAAATAGTTGCACAGTATTTTTATTTAATTCATAACTATCGCAATGACTATTTAAAACTCTATCAATGATAGAAACTATTGAATAATGTTCGATAGAGCGGTTAATTTAAATAAATAAACTTCTATTTTACATTAATACATAAAAATTAACAACTTACACCTCCTATTAATATAACAAAAAATGCTGATAATATTAAATTTTGACTTAATAAATCCACTAAACAGAATAGAACTGCGTCGAATGTAAATAATAACCATTCCATTGCCATAATACAATGTGTCACCGTAATGAATTACCGTCATCTGATAAAAATGTAAGAAAATCATGATTTATATCATAAATAATATTTTACTTGGGGGATGTTAAGAGCTACAATTATTCAACATCTTTTACACATGAATAATTTTACAGTCTCGCGCGAAAAAACTAGTGACTATCTGTGATCAATGTGGCTTAGTGTTTGGCAATTTGGTATGAGAAACATGAGGTAATAAATAGTCTGAAGTTCTAACGGAACAATCACTAACACCGAGTTGTAGGTGCAACCAACTGATGAGAGTGAGTGAGTCCCCAGTAAGATGAGTCAGTCAGTCAGTTGCAACGTAGAACTTCGTACGTATGTACATAAGTTCAGGTTTGCCATACCACATTAGCACAGAGACGCAAATGTCATATCATATCCCATAGTGATAGAGATAGTAAAGGTATTAATGTAATGAAGAAGACTTGGGTTTGAAGATTATTTTATTTCACGAAGTATAATTCAGTGTATATAAGTTAGAAAGACAAAGGTAAGAGGTGTTGACGAATTCAGAAGATTAGGATTGAGAGAGCATAACGAATGGATGCACTTGCGCCATTGCAAACGATTCTGAGCCACGTCGTTCAAGGTCTCTAAACCATTGGTGACTTTCGTCTCGCGACCTCAACCACGTAGCCTACATCTACTGACATGACTCAGTCCACTTGTAAGAGAATTCATGGAGCTGCTAAAACTGGACCACCATCCTTAAAAATCTCAGGCGTCCCATCGATCCAGTCTCCGGGATGAGAATGGATAATAAGACCATCCTTTTCCGAGATATTCTCACTCACATTCGGGTTCCTAATACCGGTTTCTTTGATAAGGCGGAAAAGTTGTCTAGTGTTGCCTATCGCTCTCTGCCATTTCCATCGCTTTTGCTTTCAACACCCACCACTGTTCGCGGTTGTTACGTAGGGTTTTTATAAGTCTGCGTCTAAGCTGACTACGCTCTTCATCATGCTCAGAGTCAGGTAAGATGAAATGTATATCTTAGCATCGTATTACGATGAAGATCGGAGAAATGGTAACTCATAGGACTAATTTATGAGTGATGATCTACATATTCTTACTAATAAACTAGATTACAATTGTAGGTATGTTCCATTTATCAAAATCATTTTGATTAACCTATAAATACTATTGTAGCAGTTTACTATTCTTAAGTCTCTTTCCAGTTATTCACAGCCTCTGTTACTTTGAAGCCACTTTTGGTTTGGTCATATATAAAATTGTTATGTTTATATTTTATGGTGTGATACAGTCTGGTTGGTATGCTTGTACACATTCTATGTTTGCTTGAAATACAATGTAATGGAGGTTGGCTTTTGACTTCTATACTCAGAACCAAGGAAGAAAGTGAATCTACTTAATTTCTGAACCAATAAGAACCTGGCAATTGACTCAAAGTAATCGGACACTTGAACTGTTTTACTAGTCAGTCAGTTAGTTACACTGTAGAAGTTCCTACGTACATGAGATCATGTTGCCATACCACCTTAGCACCAGGGACACCACTTGTCAGTTCAAATTCCAAAGTAGTAGAGATAGTAGAATTATTGAGCCAGTAATCTGACAAGTTAGGGTTAGAAGAAATTATTCAAGACGTATTATTCAATGAATATAAAATTTGAGAAGAAAAAGGTAAAGGTGATGAGAAATACAGAAGATTAGGATTTGAGATAAGAAAAGGGGGTGGATGCATCGGCGCCATGTCGTTCAAGGTCTCTAACCATAGGTTACTATTGTCTCGCGGATCCTAACCAAATAGTTTACACTTACAACATGACTCAATCAACTTTTCAGTGACACTCCATGGATTTGTGCCATGTTTTAGTTTGGAAACGCTTAGCTTTCTTCCAGCCTAACCCTGAATTCTATGTTTTCATATTCTCTTGTTTTTAAGATCTCATTGTCATATATAGATATTCCTATTATTTCCACAATACTTTGGTTTTGTAGGAAAAGAAATGGTTAGAGACCTTGAACGACATGGCTCAGAATCGTTTGCAATGGCGCAGGTGTATCCACTCTTTGTATTCTGTGAAATTCTAACCTTCTGCATCCCTCGTAATCTCTACCTTTCTCCTTCTAAATTTATCTCACTGAACTATACTTCTTGAATCATATCTTCGCTCTCTAATCTTCTCCATTAATGCTAATAATTCTACTATCACTATCACTCTTGGATTTGAAATGACAGCTATGTCTCTGTGCTAATGTTGTGGTATGGCAACCTGAACTGATGTACTTACGTACGAAGTTCTGAGTTGTATCTGTCTGTCTGTCTGTCTATATATTTTCCTATTCCAGATTTTATTTAACGAAATAATTATTTCCCTGGGTTTTGTATCACTTACAATTAAGTTATGTACACATTGTAATTCTCCAGTTGTGTTGTTGATATAGTCTTTGAGTTTTTCTAATCTCTATTAAATTGAGCAGAAAAAAGAGACGATCTGTCTTTTACCGTCGTCTTCTGATTGACCACTATGTCGAAAGCTGTTCAATGACCACCAGTAAGCATCAAAATCTTGGTTGTTGTTTATTGTTCCGTGTTTAGACTTATACATAGAAGGTTCCCTGTATTACTGGTAATATAACTGAAGTAACATATAACTAGTCTAGAGAGCGAGAGAGAGAGAGTAGGATTATATGACTGCTCTTCTGTCATTAGAACTCTGTCAGACGAGGTTCAAGATCCCATCAAATCATCAATCACAGCAAGTCATGCAGGGTGAATTGTTTTATTGCATAAATTGCTTTGTTTTACTGTTTCCTAATCTATATATATGTTGTCATTGTTGATGTCCAGTTCTTGATTGAAAAAAGAATTTAAACACTGAGTGTTTCAGTTCACTAAGATATAACTAATTAATTGTATGAATTTTAAGCATAAATAATTCTTACCAATATAAAATAATCCTTCAAATGTTGTATCATCAAATTCACCATCAAGAATATCTTCAAATGCTTTACGACGTACAATTCTATAGCGTAAACCATCAGGATCATCCTTATTGATGCAAAAAAAGAAGATTGCAATGAATTTTTAAAGATTATATTATTGAGTTGTTTAGATTATGAATGTAATTTTAAGAGAATGCTTAACATCTATCTGGATCACTGAATTGACATTTATTGGTATGTGACTTCGTCACATGAAATATTTCTTCATTCACATGTATGTTAAGGTTAAAATGCACATCTCCATAAGAATATTTTTCTCTCTACAAAGTAGACAGGCATACTGTAGTGAACGAGAACTCAGGTGGGGCAACCGAATTGTATTTAACGAAAATTACAGTTACTCAGTAAAATTGGAAAACCATATCGTAAATCGTTAATTTGCAAAATATAAGTTCATCATATCGAACTGGACTGTTCCTGTTGCAAAACATCAATCCATTGTCACTATTCATGCGTTTCATACAAATTCCATTGTGTTCTAACTCTTCCTTTCTTGATCTTCCCCCATCTTCTGCTGCCAGACATTACGTTGACACTCACGTCATATACTACTTATAAGTAGCTCGCACCACAATACTAACCAATAATTACTCTTAGGCAGTACAAACTGTTTTTTAAAAATTGACAGAATTAAGGCAGTCTCTGTCTTAGCGTAGATCTAGGTTAGCAATAAAGTATAGTATAACTTCTTAATTGAGCTTCCAAAAAGATGCTTTAACTCAAAAAAGGAACCAAATGTGACAGTATGCCAAGAGATAAACCTTGGTTATGCTTGTTTTGTGAATAAGCACTAGTTCTTTCTTGTTGCAATAATTGGGAGTAAAATTTTTCTAATTTGTAATTCTACCTGAATTGAGTTATTTTCTGATTGGTTGTAGCCTATTATCAACTTATTAATTTTTCATGCTTCTGAAAGTTATGTTGGGCTAATTGATAAGTGATACTATGTCCAAAGATTGAACCTAACAGTTGGATCTGAATTGATCGGACAGCGAGTGACCTGTGAGGTGCTTTAATCCGATTACCTATGGCATTTCGTCGTTACAATTGTGTTTATATTTTTCATAGAAGCGTGTTGTTTTCTTCCATGAAAAAATTTTCATCTGGTCAGCGGTTTTGCCTTTGATTTGTAAGTCAATGATGATTTTGTCTCGTTGGTAACCCTCACTCGGTAGTATTATTACATTGTGTTTATCTATCGATTCGGGACACATTCAATCAACCTACAAAAAATCTCCACCACAATAAGTCAAGTTCATAGTAGAATAAATTCCAGTCATTCGTATGTAACAATTATGGCAGACATAACCGAATCGTCCTACCTATAAAACATAATACAGGTTTGTAACGAATGCATGTATACATGTCGATTTGAGATGCTTGAACTATAACGAGTTTACCTTAGTCGGAAAATGAGAGCGAGGATCCGGCCACATGACAGGCAACTCTAATCCGAGCGTCCAAAACCCCCATTGAGTAAAAGAACAAGACTTGATATGAAGTAGAACCCATATTTGACAAGCATCCACAAAGTATAAGGTCCGAGTCCAGAAGAAGACACGGATATCGGATCCGGATCCTTAAAACGTTACAGATAATGCCTATTTATACATTTAGGTCGAGAAGGAAACAGCATCGAAGTCTGTGACATTGACACTTAAGAAGACCAATAGGAAACAACATTGGAGTACGTGACATTGATATGTAGGACGACCATGATATTGACCAGTAGGAATTAACCGATAGGAATTGAGCAATAATTCTCTTAGGATATTGGATGAATATTCTAACAAAGTTGTTAGTTGAATTTCGGTGATTTATATAATTTTTTTTATTTAAAGTCAGATAATTATTAAATTTAGTCTTTGTTTACTAAATTTTTTGCGATAAATAGAAAAGAAATATGTACAATTAAAACATAAAGTTTAGGGGCACTTACTCTTGAAATGAATCTTTTCAAAAATCGATTGATATTATTGTAAACTTCATTTGTGATTGCTTGCGTTGAGCTATGCTTACCCCATTTATCTGGATTCGCCGCTGTTAAATTCAATAATGGTGTATAAAGACGATTGAATGTTTGACGTAAACCTGAAGGTAAAGCCATACGATAGGTGTGATCATTTGAGTCTGGTGTAATACCACGTTTCGGTGCTATACCTTCATTTTCAATTGACAGCATTTGTGTAATACCGCCTAAATCTACATCAGAATGACCTGTCGGTGAATGTCCATGAATGTAATAGCCAAAATTAGATTGAGCAAATAAAAACACAGAAACATTGGCTACACTGCATAAATCAGCGAAACTACGTAATTTATCAGAGAAACATCTTTCCCATAATGTGATCGAGATAAACCATTGAATAATACCTGTGTTATGAATAAATAATATTTAAAATGAAATAATGAATATATTTCATAAGTTAATTCATGTAAAAAAAGTATTTCAGTCGTATGAAAAAAATTTTTTTTGACTGTTATTAACACGCTAGGTTTATGTAGACCGATTAGTTTTTACCACTGTCGACGTAGATTGACTAAAAATATTCATCAGTATAGGATATTCGTGCAGATTGTTGAATTTTCTTAGTTTAAACCATGAACTGGCCTTAAGCATTCGATAGCGTGGATAGGAAAACGCAGTGGAGGCTTCTTCGACACTACGGTGTGCCTGAGAAAATAGTTAACATCATATGGAATTCTTATGATGGATTCAACTGCAAAAACGTACACGAAGGACAGCTAACAGACTCTTTCGAGGTGAAGACCGGTGTCAGGCAAGGTTGCTTACTCTCACCCTTTCTCTTTCTTATGGTGATCGACTGGATTATGAGGACGTTGATATTTGGAGGGAAGCACGGTATCAAATGGACAGCCAGGATGCAGATGGATGATCTGGCTCTTCTATCACACACGCAACAACAAATGCAAGAGAAGACGAGTGTAACATCAACCTTAGCGGTAGTAGGTCTCAACATACATAAACGGAAAAGCAAGGTTCTCCGATACAACACAACATGCGCCAACCAAATCACTGTTGATGGAGATGCCTTGGAGGACGTAAAAACCTTTACATATCTGGGCAGCATCATTGACAATCAAAGTGGATCCGATGAAGATGTGAACGCGTGGATCTACAAAGCAAGGGCTGCATTTCTACAGTTGAAAAATATCTGGAACGCCAAACAACTTTCAACAAACCAAAACCAGGATTTTCAATACAAATATCAAGACAGTTCTACTGTATGGAGCGGAAACTTGGAGAACTATCAAAGCCATCATCCAGAAGATACAAGTGTTTATTAACAGTCATCTACGCGAAATACTTCATATCCGTTGGCCAGAAACCATCAGCAACAACCTGCTGTGGGAGAGAACAAACCAGATTCCACTGGAGAAGGATATCAGGAAGAAGCGGTGGAAATGGATAGGACACACACTGCGAAAAGCAGCCAACTGTGTCACCAGACAAGCCCTCACATGGAACCCTCAAGGCAAAAAGAAAAGAAGAAGGCCAAAGGAACCACTACGCCGAGAATAGAGAAAGATATGAGAAGAATGAACAAACATTGGACAGAACTGAGAGGGAAGCCCAGGACAGAGTTGGTTGGAGAAAACTGGTGGGCAGCCTATGCCCCATTGGGGGTAGCAGGCATAAGTAGTAGGTAAGTATGAACTGGCCTTAGTAGGATTACGTCTGACAACGTGAACGGCTATCTATTTTTAATATAGGATATTAGGTTGTGGCTGTACATTGCTTTCAGTGCTTACGCTAATTAAGATACCCCTTGACATCGGAGAATGAGGCGTAAACCAGTTACACCATAACAGGTCAGTTACGCTATTCTCTATGAGATCAAGCTTAGCTAACTGGAGTAAGAGGTCTTAAGTTAGCAGAAAGATTGTATAATCCACGAATTAAAAAGCATTCGATTCAGGCGTAGTATATGCCAGTACAAAAGGCGTCCTTGAGAGAGTTACAAAATAGCACGGAAAAAGAGAACGCCAACAATTCAGGTTTAAGGCTCTTTCAAGTGGGATACACGATTTGAAAGTAACAAGTGGTAATTCAGGTGCGAAAATAATAAATTCGAATTTAGGGGGATTTGGCATCCCCTGAAACAAACAATTGTCCAGTATACTTCCAGATCTAGCTGAGATTGTTTCCTGATTTCAAGACAATCAACTGAGTTCCAGTGACGGATTTTGAGAGGAAAGTCTTGAAAATCTAGAATTAGAAGCAGTGGTCATTATGGTTCAACACGGTCAGGCTCAAGGTCTGTATGTATTATGTTTGGACAATATAACAAATTGACTGATGAGCCTGGTAAATGAACGCAAGATCTGATTATCATCCTCTTCTAATCATTCCAGAGTGAATATACACTGCAACTTGAACGCGAGAGAAAAGGCGCGAAAAATGAGAAGAACGCTTTGCTCCAAAGTCAAGTGATGTACGATAAATGAGGGTATTTATAGAGCTACACATGAGCTTGAGCTTCCGGAAGGTTCGAGATCCATTCTAAATACCGTGGTGGTATGGCCAAATATCATAGCACGTGATTCTGCAGTTTTCAGCGCTGAGTGGATGAGACATTTCTTGGTATTTTTGAGCCTTTATAGACTTTTATATTAAGAGTGGTTTCATGTGTTTTAAATGACAAAAAATGTCACAAGATGTTCTGCTTGATGTGTTCCACTAGCAAAGTACGAAGAATTCGAAAGCGAATCGAATCTGTATATTTGGAGAAGACACAGTTTATGGGCAAAATATGTACACCTCATCTTCAGACATTCATTTACAAAACGACCAGGTTATTCACTGTTTTTGTCGGGTGTAGGCAGTAACTACCAAAGACAAATGGGTGAGGTCGCGCAAAATCCGTAGATCAATCAGAGTTAGATTATTAACACTGTTGGATGGCGGCCCAGTGGTCCGATGGCGTTCGCGCACAATACTGAAGGTCCCGGGTTCGAACCCTGCGAGGTGCAGGAGCGGTGGATACGCACTG